CCGAATCAGGCATCCTTTACAACGAAAAAGAGACATTGACACAAAATCGCATAGTTCTACGATTTACAAAGAACAATGTTATTATTAGCTACAGTTTTAACTAACAAAATATGTCTTATTCGCACGTACAGATTTTCTTTTTTTTTTTTTTTTTTTTTTTTATTAAGTCATCTATAGGAACAATATTTTTTTATGTTAAATAATTGAAAGTTTCATTACTTTTCATTTTAAAATATGAAAGAATCATTTGGTTAGATATGTGTCGTAATCATATTGTGAAACGAAATCTAAAACACCCTTAATCTTCAGTCAAACTTATTTTACGTTGTAAGTGGAATACGGTTGAACTAATCTTATATCTTCTCGAAAAGATAAAAGTCGTACGTAACGAGATAGATCGTGATATCTAGTTTAATGAGAAAAATAATATATATATATATATATTTATCAAAAAAAAAAAAAAAAAACCAAATGTTCTCGCATGACTCGTGGTAGATATTACGTCAATGGTCAAGAGGGTCTTAACCTACATTCGTTAGATTTTCTCAAAATGATCGGTTGTATTCCTTAAAAATTTCGTAATATTTTCGTAAGTCGTTAATTAACAAACTAATTGTATTATTATCGAAAGACCATCTTCTTTCTTTTATATTTAAGGTCGTTCCAACAAATTTCTTTCTCCTTTTTTTTTGGTGATAAGTTAACACATTCGCGAACACTGACGGAAGACGTTCGTAAGTCGTTAATTAACAAACTAATTGTATTATTATCGAAAGACCATCTTCTTTCTTTTATATTTAAGGTCGTTCCAACAAATTTCTTTCTCNACCCCCGTCCCTCCTTCAAAAAAAATCATCAATACGAATATAATTTTTGTATTGTATTTTGATTACATTCGTATTGTTTCATTGGTCATAATATAATAAGCCGTAATATTTTGATCGATGTTACAAAAGCAGGTGCACATTTGTGCTAAATTTGGAATTCATATTATAAATTACTAACGAAGTTATTACCATCTTCGATGGTAATTGTTCTAGTGCGTCAGCGCGTGTCACCAATGACCCATTTCGACCTCGTTTCAACGATCCCGTACTATGATGGGTTTCTCTAACGAGAACAATATGGATCTTTTTGAAGTGAAAACTTCTTTAGAATTGATGTGATTTGAAAAAATGTAACGGAACGGTAGGCGGCTATGTAACGGAGCGGTGGAAACGGCGATGAAACGACCGCGATTCATTTTATTTACAAAATTTATTTGAATCATAAATCGTCAATTGTATAACATAATTGTGTTCTCTCGTGCATTGTCCACACTCAATGTTGAATATTTTTCTATGGACAATATAAAACTAATTTAAAATCGTTAATCAATGTTTTAATATTTGTGCATAATTTATAGAAAAAAAAAAGAAAAAAAAAAGAAATTCTCGAATCTTTTATAACACTGAACGAACTCGATCGCAATGCGACCCGATTATAATTTGGAAAAAAAAAGTGCACAAAGAACGAAGACAATATCGATCTATTTATCCATTCATTCCGAAGCTTTTGCAGCTTTAGAAAAGAGACTAGAAAACGGTTCCCATTGGCACGAGAATAAAGGGCGCGAGAAGTGAGATAGAATGGGGATCTTTTCCAATTGAATGCATTAAGGATGACGACGTAAAAAAAAAAAAAGAAAAAAAAGGAAAAAAATGCACCTAAGGATCCGCGTAACAATGAAAAAGTACTAAAACCTAAAGGGAAACGAAAAGAAAAGAATGGAAAGGAATGGAAAAAGAAAAGAATAGAAAAGAATGCAAGGGAAAGCTTTTTAACTTTGCAATCGTGAAATACATAATATTAAAAAATTAATCATTCGAAAGAAATAATATGCGTATAGATATTTTTGTGTTCTTTAGGGAAATCCCCAGGACTTGTTATAATGCGATTGGTTGTATGCATCTATCTATAGATATATATATATATATATGGTAACCGCGGATTTTTCGGATAAATCTTTGGAATAAATAAAACGTCACGTCCGGTCCCCGGTACGATGCTCGTAATTTTGGTACGCATGAATCGATCCGGCGTGAAATCCATTGGCTCTTTGAAAACGAACGACCATCCCTCCTTCCCCCGTTTCTCATCCCCGATTGAGTAATCTCTAATGCGTAATATCGCTATTCACGGTGGCCCGAGCAACGTCGAATAAAATAAAATTGTTGGCACGTAGCACAAGTGACACGCAGTCAATAATTTTATGACCATGCGGGTTGGGACTCAGCGTTACTGTCATCCAACCAACCAACCAACCAACCAACCAAACAAAAAATAAATCGAACGTACAAAATAATGGTCGGTGATATAATGCAGCTCGATTAATTTTGCATTTGTCCGAAGTATCGATAAAATGTTTTGTTACATCCCTGATCACATTCCTGTTGACCCCATTGCGTTGTAGTCTCAAACCTCTGAACCTAAACCCCACACCTCTCGCGCGATACCACCCCGTCCGTCCGTCCCTTTTTCAAACGCATCGATAGACTCCAAACGGAACAAAAGCACCGGGGGTTTACCGAGTTTTCTCGCGGTACGGTAAAAGTACTTATTTATATCCACCGTCATTTTCCCTCAAACGTTTGCCAACGTGTATATTAAAAATAATATTTGCCGGGTGTACCAGTTAACTTGCTGCTGCTTTTTTTTCACATTTTTTCCTTTTTTTTTCTTTTTTTTTTTTTATACAAGTTCGTACTTATCCATGGTCCAACGGAGGAATACTACGAGTGCATTTTATTCTCCCATGTGTGTGTGTGTGTGTGTGTGTGTGTTTTTTTTTTTAATAAAAACCGTTTATTACGCATTCGATCAATTTCTATCCTCAAAAAAAGTTCGAAAGAAGAAACAAAATAAAAAAAAATTAAAAAAAATAAAAAACAAGGTATTTGCGACGTATATTATCGTCGTAGATGCGTTCTTTCATTACGACAAAGAAGATTTACCGATGGAAAAAGAAAAGGGTCGAACGATTTGGTAGAGAGAATAAAAAAAAAAAAAGAAAAAAAGAAAAAAAGCATATTATCCATCTCGGAAAGGAAGCAGAAAAGCTCGAGAAAAAGGGGAAATAGAGGAGAAAGAAAGAAAAAGAAAGAAAACAAGAAAAAAGATATAAGAAGTTAGCACAGGTGTGCCGATGGCGCACGCGAACCGAAGAAATAAGTCGGAAACTTTTATTGGGTCGTTCGTCCTTCTACCGGCAGATTCCTACGAATGATTCAAGAAGAGTATTAGCGATGTTCGAGCAATGCGGATCTCAGGAATCCCTCTCGTGTATCACGAATTTCGTCGCATTTTCTTTCTACACATTTTTATATATATAAATTACTTGTCACGTTGTTTGTCCGCAATGGACTCGTAAACTACTGAACCGATTTTAATCAAATTTTACACATTGTGTGCAGTTTCATTCAACATGAAATATAGAATAGTTTATATCTCAATTTATAATTGCAATTGATTTAAAGACGTGTGTATCGGACTGATTGTGAGCCACAGCAACGCGTGGCGGGACACCCCTAGTATATAAATAGATGGATAAATCGAAATGTATGTAAATTTTCAAAGATCCAAACTTCGAGCATGGTAAAACTCAAGTTACGATGAAAGAATCCTAAAGTAAAAGTATTATTGCTCTTGTTGTTGTTGTTATTGTTGTTGTTTGCTATTACATAAAGGATTACGAGGTCGCGTTAACAATGTTGGTTATTTTCCAACGCTTTCAAGGAAGATAAAAAGAATGACGACCAAATGCAAGGAACGAACGATGATCATAAAGGAAACGGTCTCGTGATAAAGAGTTAGGAGGTATGTACGAAGAAGTCGGATATCTAACATTTCTCAAGCAACAAAATGCACATTCTACTCTCAGTTAAATGTCTTTCCGTTTAGAAAAAGCTTCTGCCTGCCTGGCCGCCTTACAAAGTCTCCCTTAGAAATTCGTGACACACTTTGAGAGACCCCGACAAACGCGAACGCGAGAAAAAAAGCTCACTGGAAAAATACATCTCACACACTTTTACTAGTAGTAGTCATCTTTGATAAGAGATAGTACAAGGGTCGAGGACGTCGTACGATCGAAAAAAAAAAAAAAGAAACATACTAAGGGATTATAATAATCAAAAAAATATATATGTATATATATATATATATAAACTTGTTAAACAAAACGAATGAAAGCGAATATTATCCGAAAAAAAAAAAAGTTAAATCGGAATAATTATCAGAAAAAAAAAAAAATGAATGAAAAATAATTCTAGTACCTTTTCACCTCATTTTCGAAAGAAAGGGAGGATGAAAAGGGAAGGGAATAAGGTCGCGATAAAAGCGTCGACTTGTGGTGGTTTGTTGAAGAAAGAGACGGAATTCAGCGAGTTTGAAGAAAAAGATTCTTGATAAATAAAGTAAAAACAAGACGTAGGTTGGTAGCGTCAGGGTTGCGTCAACGTTTTGCAAACCCTTCTGCTTTCGATTCTGCTTATATCGTAGTAGTTTATTCTTCAATTCTCCCTACGTAATTCTTTTTAAAGAAAAAGCACCGTCGTCGCGTTGTTGTTCCATGTGATTCCTTTAAACAGACCATTTCATCGCGTCTCGTTACGATCTTTCTTTTTATTTTATTATCTTATATTCCACGACTCTTTTACCATCATAACTTCCATTTTCTTTCTTCCTACTTTAACGACTTTTCTCGCCTAGCGTTGGAACAACTTACGCATTTTCCTCGTTAAACTTAGCCGGAAAATCGTAAACGATTCAAGTAGAATACGCGAAAATCTATGCTGATATATCTTTTTACTTTTTTTACTTGTTTACTTTGCAAACTTTCCGACAAACTGTCGCGACCAGTTTAACGTTTTGACTAATAATACAATGATTTCTTTTTCGAAACAGAAACTAACTAACCGATGATCATTGATTAAACATTGAAGAAAAGTACAAAAAATACTCACGGGTTGCACCAGATATCTCAGTGAAAAGCAGGACCAGAAGTAATCCACCCACGAGGAGCGTGGTCAAGACGAACGATCTCGAACTGCAGCCCATCACGGCATCACTGCTAAATTTTCAACCCTTCGCAGTAGTCCACCCACTTCTTTGTATTTTTATTTTTTTTTACCTTTCCCACCCTATCTTCAGTCTCCGAGACAAAAAGATCGACAGTATCACGAACGTCCTACTGTCATCCGTGTCGAATAATCCGTTGGAGCACCGTACACGTCGAATAAGTCAGCATCGATGCATCAATGGTTGTTGCATCAATGGCTGCATATCACTGACCAACACGAATCAAACCCCCGTTCGACATCGAGGATCCTTGTTAATGTTTTGCTCGCATTTCCAAATTTCCAAAATTCCTTTTAGAAATCCTGTGCGATACGTTCGCCTTATCGACCCTCATTCACGACAAACTTTCACAATGACCATTAGATTATTTTTTTCTTTTTTTTTTCTTATGGTGTCACCGATTAAAATTACATTAAATATTCTTGATAAATCCTAAAAAAAAAAAAAACGTTTAACGATGACCTCTTCTCATCTTTGCACTATATACGATTCGGAGTTTTGATTGTTTTTTCTTTTTTCTTGAACGAAAGGGAGCAAAGAACATCGAAGATTTTTCATGAAAAAAAAATCATTAGAAAATGAGAGAGAGAGAGAGAGTTCTATGATGTATAGTACACTTAAAAAGCGTAGCTCGATTTTCATATATATTTTCATCTTGCTTTTACTTGAATTTTTTTTGTTTCTTTTTTTTGTTCTTTTAACAGCGAAAACCGAGATAAACTTCAGAAACAAGCACTTGATGCCGTTTCCAAAGTTTACAGAACTACGCGCGAACTCTTCTCTCTCGTAGAAAGTTTCCTCTCGATGAGTTTTTCCCTTTTATTTTTCTTTTTGATTTTTGTGTGTGTGTGTTTTTTTTTTTTTTTTACCATTCCCCCCGGTTTTTTGCTTAGGGAAAAATTCGTTCTCGTTATCGATATTGTCCATTGCGAGTTTGGTAAAAGCCAAGAAAATCTAGGTCATATGGGTATATAACAAAGGTAAGGATTTAATCTTCGATGGTCTTCCTTGAAACTAACTCGTTTACGTAATGGAATACGAAAAGTGTGGATACTATGTATATATTAATCCTTTTATATAGTTTGTACTACCAACTATTTTATCCATGTAAAATCGTGTTTAATCGTTGATTCTTCATTACTCGTGCGGCTTACCTTTATAGTCCAACGATTAATATTCGCATCATTGAAATCGTAATATAATAGGCAAAATGCGTAATATTCGATCGTTAAAGGAGTTAATGGAACACAAGTCATTTAACCGGGGGGAGGTTCACTTTTCAAGCTAGCGAACGCGATTTACGCGTAATCGAGTTATCGAACGATTCCCTGAACGAGGAGTCGATCATCATCGTTGCCAAGCAGATTTCATCTTTAACGCGAACACCAACCATATCGAATTCGAGTTAGCAATCAGACCACAGGCACATAAATCATTCGTACTTTTCACGGAAACGTCGTTTCTACCAAATCGATTCTACTTAAGCGAGATATGACTCTTACAGGTTCTGCTAAACGTATACAAGGAAAAAAAGAAAGTATAGCAATCGATTGATCGTTATCCTTGTAGAATTTAGATCAGAAACGAATCTTACCGAAACCGGGTCATGGATAGTACGGTTAGGTCACAAATTTACGCAAAGCTCGATATCAGTTTATTCCCATCTGAAATCATCGGTCCATAAACCTAGGTACGCAGAATCCCCTCGTGCATATGCATCGAGCGCTCCCTTTGTTTCACCAGCTCGTAATACTAATACACCTATGCAATGTATATTGTACGTTATATCCATGTTCGGAAAAGAGATCGTCGAATCACGTTTTGACCTTATTAAGAGACAGACAAACCAACCATACGAACGATCTTCTCTTAAGTTCTCATTGTTTTTTCCGACCGTTTTTCTTCGAATATACGAGAGAAATAACGACTATGACTTTTTTTACGGGATGCTTGTCAAAAGAATGACAAAAAACGAATCTATCGTAGACAGACGACAAATATTGTCTTTTAGAAGCAATGAGCGTAATGCTTAATAACGAGAGAGACAGAGTCAGAAGATCTACAAGTTGAATCCATTGTACGATAAATCCATGATGCCGTGTTTTAATGTTAAAATATAAATGAAAGAACGCGCGACGAGACGAGATAACAAAAAGTATATGAAATTTCATTTAGTATACAAAATTCGTTATATATTTTCGTCAAGTATAATCGTAGAAACGTGAAAGTTTAGTATAGTTTTCCGTCCGATTTATCGTTGATAACGCGGTTAAAGTATGGGAGAGAGCCTTCTTCCATGCACAAACGGGTTATAAAAAATGAAAGAACGATAACCGAGCAAGCGAGCGGTAGTCGTAATTCAGCTGTGGACCACGAAAGGGAGTTTCCTGGATGCGCAAGAGCCCATTTGATATACGTAAAGGAAGATAAGCAAGAAGCAATACTTGTTAAAGCCAAAGAGACGAAAGGAAATAGCCGATAGTGTACGCGTGATTCGATCGGAACCAACTCAAGAGAAGGGCCCATCAATGCGCACGATCCTTCCTTTGACCACAATAATCACGTGCGAAGCTTACTCAAAGTGTTAGAGTGATAGAGATGGAAAAGGGTAAGGGAAAATCCCGTTCAAACGTCATCGTACTCGGTCACGCACGTGCAACTCCATCAACGTCGAACTCTCTCTCTCTCTCTCTATCTCTCTCTATTTCTCTCTTTTTATTTGTATTTATCTAACTATCGATTTCTATGCTACATGTAAATACGCGATCTATAATAGTCTATCCTTCTTTATCATCATCTATTCATTTTTTTCATTCCCAAAATAAAATACTCGTCTAGTTGCATATGTATACAAGGAAGAAACGAAAAAAACCCACCAATCATCTGTTTTCTATTTTTTTTTTTTTTTTTTTTTTTACAACATGTTCTATTACTTCCTACTTCCAATTTTGACCCATCTACTATATTTTCACGAATAAATATAATATGGATGTTCGAGAAAAAAGAAATGCAACCCTCCGAATCGTAGGGAAAAAAACGTAGTAGTAGTAGTAGTAGTAGTAGTAGAGTCGTATCGATGTTTACCAAAGTTTTGATGTTTTACGAAACGCGCTAGGTATAAGACATTCCTCTGAAAATAAAAAAAAAGAAATAAAAAAAAGAAATCAAGAAAAATGTTCGTCGTTGAAACACGAAGAACTGGATGGTATCTCGATTTACTACTCGGCACTCCTCGGAGCCGACGTTTTGAGCACTCGAAAGGAGAGATGGACGAATGGACAAAAGGAAGATAGATTTTTAATGGGTTACTATGGGATTTGTCAGTAGCATGGAGATAAAAAAACGTGTGAAATGATTTTAACACCTAACTCGTACACCTAACGCGTTCACGGAGAGAAACCAAGAGAGCTTCGCACCACGAGCGTGCTTTCGACTCTCTGGCTCCGCTTTCGGAACTGAGCAAAGAGAGGGATTCAACGCCACCCCTACCCTTCGGTCTTTCTATTTCTCTATGTATGTGTGTGTGTGTGTGTGTACCCTTACGCCCCCACACAAGTACATCCCGCGCATCCCGCCTCGCGGCCGCGGCGCCTAGTTCTCCCATCTCTCTTTTCTATACCATGCTAACTCCACCTGACCCCACGAACCCTACCCTTCCCTACCCTACTCTACCCTACCCTACCCTACCCCTACACCTACCACCGCTTCGACAGCGCCACCCAGGGCTGATTCTTTGGTGCTACGTTCAGTTAGGGTATACCACCACCGAGTGCAGTCGAATACAAAAACGCGTCACTCCGTTTCATTATATCATAGAAATGATTTGTTTTTTTTTTTATTTCTATAACAAATTGAAGATTATTTTTTAATTAGGTTTTAGGTTTAATTATATAAATGCATGAATTACATTTAAAAAAAAAAAAATAGTCCAAACTTTAGATTATTCTATCAATAATACGAATCATTATCGATCGATCGATCGATATCGATCGTATAATACGCGTCCACATAGAATGTCATATATATATATTTGTATTATATACTTCCAACGAAATTACGAGGCCTCGAAAATATTTCGCATCTCGCAAAAGAAAGTGGCAAAACGAGAGGAACTTGTCTTAACTCCAATCACGTCTCGAGAAAAACAGCTTGCTTCCTCGAGGGAGCTATTTTCTATGTTACGGTATCTACAGGGTGCAATAAACAAGCTCCTTCTAACCATAAAAAATATAAGAGAAATGGAATGAAAAGCAGAAAATATCTTCGATAAAAAAAAAAAATTTGTATAAAATGCATGCTGTTCTTATTTTTGGTTTTTTTTTTTGAAAACTATTTCTAAAGATTTGCTCGTTCGAACGATAACCACTGTGTACTAATAATCATTGATTTATAAACATATTTATAATATTAACATAAATATTATTTACAGTTATAAGAAAAGAAAAATGAATAGAATTAATAAATAAAACTTTTAATTAAATATTTTTAAACATTCTCTCTTACCTTTCTAATTAAAACCCCAGTAATTGTCCATTCGATACACTGTAATAATCTAAAATAGAAATGAAAATTATTATACAAATATGTTTATAATATTAACAGAAATATTATTGTCTGACAAACATAAAACGAACATGAACGAAATTATTACATAAAATTTGTAATTAAATATTATTAAATATTCTCTCACCTTTCTCATTAGACAGTTCTTTCTCTCTTCATAAACTAAACTATACTAGGGCACTAAACAATAAAAGGGCGGGAGAAACTTCTGTACGATTCTGATTGGTCGATTGAATAAACTTTGCTTTCTCATTGGAAGTTGACTGTGACAAATGTGATACGTCAATTATATTACGTCCTTATTTCTGATTTGCAAAATAAAAAAGCGCGCGCAAATGACAAATTTTCGAATGACTTATCCAATTGTAAAATAACAAATTTTAAATATTATTTACAAAAATAATGAATAATTGTTGAAACTTTCAGTTTTTATATTTAAGAAGTGTATTAGGACTTGGTATTAGGACAAAATTTATTTAAAAATGGCTATTTTAGTTTGTATTTATTATCGAGCACCTAAGTAAATATAAAATCGTTATACGCCTATATGGTTCTGTATGTAACTATATCACTATCATGTTACTGTCATTATAACTATTTATAGAAGCTATCCTCTAATTACATATGAAATAGTAAATGTAGGCTTGTGTGTATACAGTAATATATATGGCACGTCAGTCTGTACGTATAATTACTTATGTCACTTAATTATACTTATTAAATACTACTAAATCCGTCATGAAAGTCTGTGAGAGTTTTATTGTGTTTGGCATTGTTCATATTTTATGGCTTTAGCACTACCGTATCATTTCCATGTACTTTTGTTTGTGCTTGCTGAGCATTTCGGTCACTGTTACCAATTGTTTTATTGTTGGCTGTGAAAAAAAAAAAAAACGTATATTTTCATCAAATTTATTCTATATAATACTTACAATGAATAAAACTGAAAAGAGCTTACTTGTGTTTTTGATAAAACTTGAAGTTCCTTTAAATGAGAAACACAAATATGATGCAATGTCGCCAGATCTCTTGCAGTATCTGATACGCATGCAGCACTTTTACTCCTTGGATCGGCGCCTTCAGATTCTGGTTTTTCAGTTACATTCTAAATAAAATAAATATTATTATAATAATCCTCTTGTTCAGTTTTATTGTAATAATTATAATTGCATTATATAATAAAACTCACTGATAACTGATCAAGAAACACAACCATTCGTTCCTTATTTTTGAGAATAAATGGATTTACAACTTCCATATATGGCTCTTTCCCACCAAATTCTACCAAATTAGCCAAATTTTGCAAACATTTTGCCACCATCACTAATGATCTGTACAATAGTTTTTATAATTAATAATAAAAACAAGAAAAAAAGACGTAAATCTATTAAATACAACATGTATACATGATTACCTTGCAGCCGTTGGAGGTGGAGGCTCTGCTATTAAATTGAATGATCTAGGATTCAAAATAGCAGGACAAAGTAAACGTAAAAATATAAATCCACTGACTACTCGTGTCCTAACTAATCTTTCGTGTGGCCATTTTGCAACGACAGCTCTTTGTAGGCAACCACAAATGTATCTTAAAGTTTTTGGACAAGCATCGGGACTTGTAAAAATGCTTAATGTCACTTCATCCAAAACCTACATTTTAATTAAGTTTTACTTCATTAGAAAGTACATAATTATATAAACGCGTTTATATATTTCAAAATTGTCATACAATTTTAAAACACACCTGTAATAAAAATTCAGCGTTGCTGCATGCATCTTCAGGTGAATCCATTTTAGTTGGATTTAATTCACAACTCTGTTTACTTTCGATTAATTTAACGATGGTATCACGTAAAGCAGCTTTCAAAAACGAAGTACAAACTGATTTCATATATAAATCCATTAAAGTCGTTGTTAGGCTGGCAGCTCTAAATAGAGTAGGTGTTTCATCTTCCTTATCAACCTAAATAAAAAAAAAAAAAAGTATAATTAAAACGTATAACGACAAATTTACATCGTATTACGAGTTGTTTTGTTTAATACCAACTTCTGCTTGATTCAAAGATCGTAAGAGATCAGCTTCTTTTCGCTCGTGTCTAAAATATAATCCATTTTTCACAATGTTTTGAACAAAAATATATTATAATAATAAACAATAGAAATATAAATACCTAAATATTCGAAGAAGACTATTAGCTAATGGTACTCTATCCAAATGACACACATCTGCCAAAGCCCTAACAACATGAAGTTCTGGATCTAATAATAATTCTTGTAGAGGACTATATTCTTCTGGAGGCATCGCCAAATCATGTCTATACCTAGAATCCAAACATAAATACATGAAAATGATTAATGCAATTCTCAACTATACACGCTATAGACATATATTATTTACCTCAAACGTAACCGTAATGCTCCCCATTCTCCAATTGGTGTGACACCGGATAATGGATACCATTCATCCATCTCTTCCCTATTAGTTAGACTGGACAGCTCTACCGTTAACTCCGCAACTTCCGTATCTTTACTTCGTTTGCCTTTGTTGTATAATGTCAATGAAAATGACATAACGTCTGGTGGAACATCCCTGTTAAATAACTTCCAATAAGATCATCGCTACAGTTGTATTTTATCAAGTTTTGTAAATGTTTAGTTTAACATTCGCATACGTACTCCAGAATGAACTCTTCATCCCAGAGTGGATGTAACCCAGTTTTAACCTTTGTGCGTGCAACTTTTACGTTGTTCAGAGCCACTATGATGAATGGGTTTGGTACTAGCTTATATGGAAGTCTATGCGCGTCTAGAATGTGCAGATGTAATGAACGCAATTCGCGGAGACGAGCGACCTTCGGTGCACGTGTAAGTTGTGATACACATAATGGTTTCAAGGCATTAATCCAATCTAAAGCATTTTCCGAATTTGGAGCAGCCAGATAAGTTATCGTGGCCAAACATGGTAAAGCACGTTCAACTAATTGGAAGCAATGAGGCCTATCAAACACACTTTCATGGACCTAAAAAGACTATATTTCAGCGATATGGTGAAAAATTACATACTGATATCCATGCAACTATTAATATGAACTATTTAACAATTACGTTAGTTTTTTAGTTAATATCTTGAGAGTTAATATATTAACTTAATCCTCTAAAAATAATATATTTGAAATATTCTTACTTATCAATACGATATATGAATTACCTGATATAAGTAAGCACAGCTTAAATCAATGAGACCTTTTGGTTTGGTTCTTTTAGGATTGTCATACAAATAGAGGTGTGTATCAGTAGCATCTACCAAAAGTACAAAATACAATGCTTTCCATTTTTTGTTTTTCTCTGACTTTTTTTCCAAATAACCCTGCATTTTAATTCCTTTATTTTTCTTTACGCCAGATTGTTCACGACATTCTCTAAGAGTCGCATAAATTTTTTCTGCGTGTTGTACTTCTCTATTAACTCTTACACTTCCATCAGGCTCAGTCACCATTGCTTGAACTAATGTATGCCCTTCTACTATTTGTTCTTTTCGATATCTGCAATATATTACGAATAAATGATTAATTAAACAAATAATAATTCACTATAAAGAGAGAGAGAGAGAGAGAGAGAGAATAAACTGACCTATTTATTACAGCATCCAAGCATTCAAAAGTTCTACCACCCATAAGATATCTTACACCTTTCTTCTCTATTCTAAATCTTTGTATTTGATTATTAATATGAAAGAAAAGAGAATAATCTCCTGGACTGTTATCGGATGGTCTAACCTTTATATAAAATGAATTTCAATAATTATATGAATGTAAATAATAAAATAAACTATGATAAAACAATTATTATTTTACCAAAAAACTTCCAGGTCCTGCTTTGACCAGCATATCGACAGCTTCACTTTTAGTAACATTTGGATGAAACCAAGAGAATACAGTATTTGGATCTATAGAATCATCCAAATCTTCTACTAATTCACGAAAAATAAGTCCCTGTTCTCCAGTCCTATGGGCAGTAACCCATAACCATCCATCACCCATATCATTGTGAACAAAAAATATATCACCCTTTTGAAAACTTAATTCATCTGTATCAGGCATTTTAGTGTATGGCAATATAGCAACTATCCTTTTTTTGTCATTCACAGGCTCAGGTGGAGGTGTTGGATGTATAAGTCTTTCTCTCTTTAAAAGATCCGAGCAATGAGTATAATAAGCAACTAGGTCTGATAAACTATTAAATTGACGACCTCCTGCAAAATATATATTATTGCTCTTTAATACTCTTCATACTTACATGAAGAGAATATTGTAAATGATATCACAAAATCTAAATGAAATATAACTTGCATCAAGAGTACACTTGCACTGATGTTATTCCTAATGAAGTATGTGATCCTACCAATATAATAATCTCCACACACAGCCGTTATTCGAAAATGATTAATTCCAGTTCTTCCAAAATAAGATAGTACGTAACTACCAGGCTTTCTATCACTTTCACGAACCAAGTAACTTCCCATTTTACTAGCATCCCATAGTCTTTCTTCTGCAGTAAATCTATCTAGTCTTCCATGGTACCATCTATACATAATAATTAACTTATTAATTCATCGATTAATCTTGTATTTCTTTTTAAAGAAATAAAAGTCAATTTGACTGACAAAAATTTGTTTCTGTGCTAAGCTCAAAACTTTTCAATCCACAGATATAAATTCCCTAAGGAATAAAATGTATATTAAATAGATACAATAATCTTACTGATTTTCTGGAGGAGCAGTTAACAATGTAGTATTTGCACTGTCAGGTTCTTCAGTATCCTGTATATCATCGGGTAAATTTTCTAAGAAAGGATCAAATTCATTTTCCACATTCAAAGATTCATTTTGTCCACCATCCTCACTTCCAGTACTTGGTGAACCACCTTTACTGCTATGATCCATCTATAAAAAAAAATATATATATATATATATATAAAATCAATTCATACAATAAATGCATAATTATATTTTAAGGAAAAATATACATTAAAAAATATAAAATGTAATAAATAATCAAAGTATTAATTAAATGCATAGCAACACTTGTTGTGTTATCAATGCAACGTAATACAAAGAGTAACACAAAGAAAGATGTATATGTAATCTTCATTAGTAACAAAGATACAGATATTTATGCAAAGTCATTACATTTGATTGTTTAAAAATTAACCCCGACGAGATAATAATAGAAAATAATGAACATTAAAGACAATGAATCAAAAAAGAACTTTGAATGGGGAGGATTAGTAATGCATCAAACTTGCTTTATCTGGTTTTGATCTCCTGACAAATAAAAACTTACAAAAGCATTCTTTTTTTTTCTTTTCTTTTCTTTTCTTTCATTAATAATTAAAACAAAATAGAGAACAATAAAAAGAAAATTATCATTTGTAAGAAAATAATAAATAAACGCTTATCTGTATATAAACTACGTACCTTAGTGTTATTCGATACACTAGGTCCTCCACGTACAAATTCTGCCATTTTTTCAACATGCACTCGTTCACACACACGTTTATTAAAAATTCGAAGTCTTAAGTAAACAGCATTCGTCTTTATTGCAACCTTTCCTTCTACATCTATTTACAAAGGTAGGCTTTTATCGATATAAAATGTATTGACGTTTCCAGGCTGCCATTTTACTACCGCACACGCTACCACAAAGCACAGACAATCAAGAAAAGATCTTCATCAGAAAATGTCAGATTTTATACACCAAATGCACTTTCCATGGAATGCAATACGTTACGGTTTGATATCTAATACAATGTCACCAACTTACTTCTCCCTAAATTCCCTAAATATATGTATTTAACATCGGTTGGTTACACAGAAAACATTTTCATTGTATATTTTAATTATTTATATGTTAAGTAATATTTTATATTTAATTATGTATATATATATATATATATATATATATAAGATTAGCTTGTTTTTTAATACAAATATTAGAATTTAATTCAATAATATAAACAATAAGTATTTTTTTAATTTTAATTCCTATTATTGCCACAGCGCTGCTATTTGTTTCTCACGTACTGTCGGTAAAACAGAGCATGACACAGAAATAAAAACTGTAATGCACTTGTCGTCATTCGTCGTTGGTATTTAACGTAATCTGTTAAAGAGAGTGTATGTTAGTGTCTCTGTGTTTTATGTTTAAAAAAAAAAACAAACAAAAGTGAAATATTTCATTAAACGATCAAATACATTTTATTATTAATAGGCAAAGTATGATTATTTACTATTAATCAAAATAATTTCAGTTATATTTCTCATTTATAACAAACAATACATGCAATTTATATGTACTCACTTGTCTTTATTGAAATTTATGAAAAATATATGAAATATATAGTTATTATTTAGTTTGATTTTATTATATTAGCAGTGAATCAATGATGTTTGAACTACCATCAGAATTAACTACTAAACCATTAGCTCTTATCGGTCTATCTGGCTTAGACATAACAAATGCTGTCCACCGATCAATTTGGGATGCATTTAATAATAATCGAAGACCTGATGGTACCACTGTTCAATTTAAATTATTAGGACCAAAGCATGAATTTCCTACCGTTAAACCAAAGGTATACTCATATGTCATATTTCACATAACATTTATATATAACCTTTAAAATATAATCAATATTTTGACAGAGAAACTCATATGAATGGTATATACCTAAAGGAATTTTAAAACGTAATTGGATGAACAAATACCTTAATGAAATTCCAGCAGTAGTTATAGTCTTTTATGATTTAGATTGGAATGATCCATTGTGGAATGAAAAAAAGATAGAATGTGCTTCGAGAATACAATCACTCAGGTAATATATATATATATATATATATATATATATATTAAATTCTTAATTGAATTGTTTATTAAATGTCTTTTATTAGAGCTGCTTTGGAAGGTAGAAGTACAAAAGTAGCACTTGTATTGATACAATGTGGTGTACCACCTCCTCCAGATTCTGAAGATATAACAGCAACTGAACGAGCAACTGCTTTATGCGGTGCTTGCGAATTACCACCTAATTTACTCTATGTATTACCACATGGAGATCATTTATCAGGATATATATCCAGGTAGAGTGTCAAGATTTTTTAATATCATTTTATATTTCTTATTATATATTATGAAAATAAAATTGTTAATATATATATATTTTCTTGTTAACAGACTAGAAACTGCATTTTATCAACTGGCACAAACTTTTTATCATCATGAATATCGTATTATTAGAAGTCATCGTGATCAATTGAATAAAACTGTTCATCAATATTTGTTTGTACGTCATCAATTTAAAATGGGATTTTTAAATGAACTAAAACAAGATCAACCACAAAAGTAAGAATTCTAAAGTAAAGGTTTTGTTTTTCTATTAGATTGTAATTAAATGTTTATGATATTTTTCACCAGACATTATGTACAAGCGTATCATAATCTTTTTGAAATAAGAATGGTAGACACTAACGCATTGGAAATAAAAACTATTGCTGGTTTTATAAATTATAAAATATGCAAGATAATGTTTAGTTTAAATCTTCCAAAAGATGCTATAGCACAATTTAGACTTCATACAGAAAGGTTAGTAATATTTCTCACTGAGATATTTATAAAATGAAAAAACAAAAAAAAAGACATTGAATAATATCAATAATTTACATGTATAGGTTTAAACTAAAAACTGGTCCGAAGGAATTGATATTTGAACATCATGCTTGGATGAGTAACCAGTTTTCAACATTTGCAGAATTATTTGATGATGCAATTCGACAAGGTCTTCCTGCAGTTCAAACTCAACATCCTGGATATTATTATCAATTGGCAGCGCAACATGCGAGCTTGAGACAATCTTCATGTAAAGAATTATGTAAAGTATGTAATAATAATCATTTGTTATCAATAATATATTATAATAATTTTGTATTTGATTTTTAAATACATTTTGAAATATAATATTACAGAATGTAAATAGTTATCCAGATCTAGATCCATTAGCTGGGGAAGAAAAACTTGAATTTTATGGTCAACGTCCTTGGCGTTCTGGAAAATTAAATGTAGAACCACTGGATACTGTTAAAGAAGCAGCTGCTATACAAGCATTACAATATAAAGAAAAAACATCTGTAAATCATTCTGTAAGTTTGATATATTTAACAAATGACTGATCAACACAATGACCTATGATAATTATTATTTATTACTCTTTTAGATGATAATTATTGGCTTGCTGGGAAATGCAATTTCTCAATTTAAAATATATCGATGTCCTAGAATGCGCAGATCATTAGGTACATATTTACTTTATATTCCTTATTTTGTCATTTTTATGTAATTCTAAATCTATATGAACATATCAAGAATCAATTATGCATTGTTTACAGTTGTACAAATGGCTGAAGAATATTATAATTCACAGGACTATGGGAAAGTTCTTACGTAAGTTTGATATATTTTTGTTGTTGTTGTTGTTGTTGTTATTTAATTATAATATTTTTCTTTTGTTTTTTACAAATTTCGAAAGGTTTATTACTTTTTTTTTGTAATATTCAGTAGTCCAAAATTGATCTTGACATTATTTTCTCTAGATAGTTTTCTTGTGTTAACGTCAAAATCATAAAATTTGATTGGTCAGATTATTGATGCACATGTTATGGGAGTATCATGGAGAGAGATGGCCCGTCTTGCTAACAGATATCCTAAAAAATGCATTACGAGCTGCATATTTGTCTACAAGCATTCAAGACTACCTCACATTATCTTTTGAAGCTTTAGGACCTTCTACGACATTTACTAAAGATCAACAAAACATTGTTTACAACAATATTACTAATATTCTTGAGGTACAAATATTATTTCATTTCATTTTATATGGAATATTTAATTTTCTTCAATATCAATCCATCAAATATTTATTGATATGTATAATACAGAAACGACCACCACATCCGGAACTTGATTTACCAGATGATTTAAAACGTCTTGCATTAGAAAAATGGAAATTAGAATTGACTCGACAAGAACCAATTGTTTTTACAATTGATGATAACAATATGGCTTCGTTTATAGATGTTAAAGCACAATTTTTAAAATCAAGTTATATGGTTAATGAAAATGTTACTATTGAAGTAATTATAAGGTGATTATATTGAATTTTATAACTAAATATTGTTCCTCACGTATATAATAATTAACTGTATATATTACGTTTATTACAGAAATACATATTCTGGAAATATTGAATTTTCTAAAGTATCTGCAACAATTAATAGTCCAGTATTTAATACAGAAATTGTAGTTGCCATTTGTCAACAGAATAATGTTGATCTTGTATTCTCTGCTAATGAAATGAAAAAATTGTATGGTGAATTTGCGGCACCTCCGTTAAGTCATAATAGTGAAATTCATATTAATACAGTCACATTGTTCATGGGAAATGAAAATCAATGTTCTATCATTTTAAGATTTCCAGCTGCGGGAAAAGAAACAAATCTTTTACATCGTTTATATCCTGAAATACAGTTATTACAGTACGTAATGTTTAATAACATATTATATGCAATAATTAGTAATATAATTTTATGATATCAAATTGTTTAAACAGTAGTGGCAAATTTGAAGCGATAAAACCATTGTTAACAACTGAAATCAAAAGGAAAGAAAATGATGTTAATATAAATGCAAAATCTTATAATCCTGCATTATTAGGAGAATGGGTACCTATTACAATACATGTAACTATTGAAGATTATATTACTGTAACATCTTTCCATGTTAGTTTTCAAATGGATGGAAACAATGAACAATCAAGTAAGATTGTTTTTGGAATATATTTAATACAAAATATATTTTATATCATTTATACAATACTAACCAATTTTTTTGTTGCCAGCTGATTTAAGTTTGACAATGTCGACTAAACAATCTCAGATATCAATTGAAATAGAAAAAACAGAAAACAATAATATAATTGAGAAAATTGTATATATGCGGGCGCATAAAGTGGGTACCAGAAATATCACCATAAAAGTATGTAAGATCATCACATATAAACTATAATAAATATAAAATATATTTTATAATTACAATTATACATGAACATATTTATATATAACAGGTAGAATATTTATATCCAAATGATATAAAAGGAAGTAAAGAAATGATACATTCTATATCAGTTTGTAAACCATTCGAAGTAACTACAAGATTTTTGACTAATCTTTTAGAACCATTAACAAAAGGTTTCATTCATGAACCTTTTATTGTCATGCCACATATTTCATGTACATCACCTTGTCCAATTAAAATTCTTCATACTTCAATCGAGTTGGTAAGTCATAATAATATTTCTTACATAGTTATTATTATTATTATTAAATAACAACAAATATTATTTCTTTTTTTCTAAAAGGGAGATTTAATAAAAAAGGAAAATAATCAAAATGAAAATAGTATATTAGCAGGAACTGTACTTTCTGATGGTGAAGCTGGTACCGATGCATATTGTTTAATAGCTAAAGCTGGTAGTGAACAACCTGTCAGTATAGGAGTATATACTATTAAATGGATACGGTAAATCATTTTGAAAGATTGATTTCATTTAATAATAATAATTATTAAAATATATATATATATATATATATATATATATATATATATATATATATATNTATATATATATATATATATATATATTCGTTTATTTTTTAGTGCAAATGATGAAAATGCATCAGAAACTAGTAGTAGTGTAACATTAGCTCCATTGTGGATAGAAGATGCAGTTATTAGTTTAGAAGCTAAATTACCAGCTCATGGTTGGGTATGCACACCACTGTATATATCATATATTATACAAAATCATTCCGATCATTTGATCACGTTACGTTTAACAATGGAGGCTAGTGAAGCATTTATGTTTGCTGGACAAAAGGAGGTAAATTTATATTATTCATTAATCCTATCACAACATGATCATTTGACTTTTGATGATACTTTTTTTTTTTAGGTTGACATTTATATTCTTCCAAAGAATGAAAGAAGAGTTGAATGGATTTTACGTCCACTTGTAGCTGGACTTGTTGCATTACCAATATTATCTTTAACTGTACCTGCCGGTAATATATATATATATATATATACCACCATTTTCAGTATACCTATTTCTACCACACTAGTCAAAATGACTGGGTGTATAAGAAAAAAATGCTTTTTCAAAGCTTCCAGTCTTTATTTACTCTTTAAAAAAAAAATAACAATAATAATAATTTTAATAGATAAATGGATTTATATAGACATTTTAAAATTATTAATGGAAATCAAATGTTACATGTGAAGTAGACATTTGGAATTAAAATGGCGTCGTCAATCAAGCAGTCAAAATGACTGGTTTGGTATATCTAGCGTTAATAAATATATTTTGATATTGTTTTGAATTTATTTGATTTTTCTTTTTTTTTTTCAATATTTTATAGATGAAGAACATAAATTAAGTAAAGGACGTCTTTCAGAAGTGCTGGAACGTTCATTGCCAAGTCATATTTATATATTGGTAAGTTGTGTGTAAATTTGAAGTACTGTAAAATTGTGGATTTGTTTTTTTCTCTTTAGAACACTGTATTTTTTTGTCGTTACAGCCAAAATCTCAATCTATAGATGATTAAACATGACATTATTTATTTAGACATCATGGATATAGTTTACACATTAATTGTGTATTACAAATTTGTGTTGGATATCATTTTTAAATGATAATTTTATATTTTAATGATAAAAAAAATCCTTATATATATATACATATATATATATACATATATTTAATAATTTTCTTAAATTATATAATCATTTTAACTAAACCTTGTATAATATTATCATACATATTGATTCCATTATTTACATTTAAAATGCAATATCGGTAAAGTATTAAACTGTAAAAATTTGTTTATCGACGCATAAATATTGATCATAGTTATACAGTATTTCTTCAATATTATCCTTAACGAAGTACACCATATTTATAGGAAAGTGCCTTTAATGATATAATATTACAAACAAACAAAAAGAAATTAATTGTCGATCAAAAAAGACAATATCATCAGCATCGATAAAAACAAAAAAAAACAAAAAAGAAAGAAAAAAAGTGTATACTAAATATTTGTAAAATAAAATAACATTGTATATGAGATTCGATTATGAATAAAACAGCAGCCAAAAAAACACTTTGCTACAAACTGAATTATAGAAAACACAATCTGTTGTCTTCTTCTTCTTCTTCTCTTGTATCGAGTGAGTTTGATTCTTCTTATCTTATTCTAAATATTAATAATTATATTTACTCAAATTGTTTTTTTTTTATTTCTAAATTTAATTATTAATTAATATTCTCTCAATAATATGATAAACAGAGTAACAACAGAAGGTCATAATGGACGTTCCTGAAAAAGTTCAACCATCTTTAGATTCACGTGTTAATTTTGAACAATCACTGATAAGAAATGAAAAACTTTTAAAGGTACAAACAGTTAAATTTTATATTTACATAAATATAAATGTAGATCATTGAAAAATAGACAAAAACTCTAATACTAAACTAGCTCACAAACATGAGTCATATCTATGCGTATACAATAATCGCGTTTTGTGACTCATTTTGCTTGTATAAACACCTTTAATTATTTCTGATAAATATTTATATAAATGATACTAACATTTCAATAGAAAAAAAAAAGAAAAAAAAGAAGGAAAAATTGGATAGAGTTACCAAAAACCAAATATTCTTTCTTTCATCTTGAATTTGAAGTTACATTTGAAATATATCAAAATATAAATTAATTATTATAAGATAGGATGAAAAGTTGGCAAAAATAAAATATTTGTTTCATTTTGAAACTTCATTTGAAATATATCTAAATATAAACTCTATTATAATTGTTTATTATTATCAATTTAATCAATAATATAAATGATCATATTATTAAATAATAAATACATAAAACAGGATTTGGAAGTTTCTAAAGCACGTTTGAGAACTCTCGCAGCTTATACACCTACCGAAGAAGAATTACAGCAAGTTGCTTCAACATATCGTAAATGTCTTCTTCTTCAAAAAAAAAACAAAACAAAAAATCACCTTCTTAAAATGAAATAAATCTTCGTGTAGAATATTTTACAATGATGAATGTTATTACGATCTAATAACTCGAGCCGAACGAACAAACTTCCAATTGAAAAGTTTGTTAATCGTCAGGATCGATGAATCGGATCGTTTAGCGGTATATATTTTATACAAAAATAAGTATAAATAATTCATATTGAATTATTATTATTATTTAAAACTATGATAAAAAAAAAAGCAAAGAAAAAGAAGAAGTGCCAATATTGCACACACAGTTGTACACCTCTAATACAATATTTTTCATTTATTCATTGTAATGATTATTAATCAACATATGTTGTGTTGTAATTTTTATTTGTTAAAATTGATCTTGATCATTAATGTTAATCAATAATTTCTAAAAAAAAATAATTAATACATATTTCTTCTTATAATTATCATTCAAGGAATATTACTTACTTACTTATTATTTTAAAAATTGAAGTGTTACATTTAACAAATATTTCCCATCGATGCTGCTGTATACTTTGTAAATTATTTCGTGGCAGGACACAAATTTGAAAAGAGACAAGTACGTACGACGTTCACCTGTAAGAATGACATTCATATTCATTTTCCATGTTGTGTGGCTGTACACTATCATCAGTAATAATTACCAGCGCATAGAACATATATGTTTGATAGGAAACCACGTTTCCTGAACTGTTCTGATAAGAACAACGTACAATAATTTGTCAGAATATTACTATATACGGTTTTATTTTAAAGCCGTGCTACATATACTGTATGTATCTAATCTTGACCTTCTAAATACAATTTCACTGAAAAATCTTTCAATTATAATATTTTCATTCAATATTAATACAGCTCTCTTTTTTTATATACTTTGTCTATACAAAATCAAACTTATCATCCTTTGATTATTCGAATTAAAATATTTTCTTTTTTTTATCATTAAAAATGCATCTACCAAAGTAAATTTGTAAACTTGTGTAAAATGCAAATGCAAGCAAAGATTTTGATTTTATTATTCAAGTTTTATTTTTGAATTATTCAAATATCAAAAAATTCCAATATATATATATATATGTACGTCTGTATTTTAATAATTTACTTACCTACATAATTATAATTAGTATGTTAATAACACACTTCTATTGTACGTGTGTTCTGTACACCTCTAAATATTCGAAGTAACTGAGATAAAACAGTTGTAACAAGTACAATGTTACTACTAATTTTAAAACTCAACGTGGCATAGCAACTGAATAAATAAAATGCGACTGTACGACTGTATCGTCATTGTGAATTAAAAACATCTGTATAAATATATATTTATTATCTTCAAAATACCCCCTTTTTCTTTTTTTCTTTTTTCTTTTTTCTTTTATAATATGAATAAATATATGTATATAATATACCAAAATGTTTATCATTCGTGAATAACTTTATATATTATGTGTTATTTTAATAGAAATATCAATATATATATATATATGTATGTATACTTTCACTGTAAAAATTGAATATTTTCCACATAACAGAACTATATGTACATTGTGTTATTTTATAAATAATATAAATTATATATATATATACGCATATAGAGGTATATACAGAAATTTACTTTATATATATGATCAAAATGTAGAACAAAAAGAAATAGGTAAACTGATAGCGAATATAGCTTCCATTATTCTTATCGCTTATTCGCAGTTGCATAAGCTGGTATGAGTTTGTTGCATTTGACTACCTTCTACCATTAATACTTTATCGTTGATATTACCGGTGAACATAATATCTACAGCGATATTATTTCTTTTTTACTTAAAACTAAAACAAAAAATAACTGTCCTTGCAAACTCATGATATAAGTTTTAACACAATATATCTATATATATATATTTGTTACTTTCCTAAAAAAAAAAAAAAAACAGTAATTTTACTTATTCTATTTATTTAGAGTGACGAAAAATATACAAATCTTCGAAATTCTTATTATATCATTTTATTTTTTTTTTTTTATGTCATACGGATCAGAATATTTTTGTTCTTTTCAAAAAATTATTTTTTTTTTTTCTTTCAACAATACAATTATATATTTATATATATTATTTTTTGGTGTTCATCAATTAAAATAAATACATCATAAAAATAATTATTACAATTTGTAAATCTATTTTTTTTTATGGACTTAAATATATATATATATATATATCTTAGGTATTATTATATTAATATTTATATTAAATATTTGCAAAAATAATACAAGTAATAATAAATAGTGCCAATTACTTTTTATAATATTATTAATTTGATTATAATTATATAGTATCGGCAATGTCATTTAAATAATTTTTAAATATTATTATTATATATATATATATATACGATTACGTAAAAATAGCTGTAAATATAATATAACCTCTTGCGGTGGAAAGATGTACCACGCACATCCGAGATGTTTCTGTTCCTTGAACGTTATCTGTTACACTAAGAAATCATTCGCATTTTTGACTGTTCTTTCTTACACGTGTAAACATGAATTACTTTGCACCGTTAAGAAGTTTAATTTATTAACCAGTTTAAGCGTGTTTGACGACTATATCCGTCATGAAGATGTGACAAAATTTGGTTTTGGCAAGACGTCTATGCTATGATCCGTCATGCGTATAAAGTTTGTTACAATTTGTTGTTTAAATTGTAATTTTGATAACGTAAACTACAATTATATTCGTAAATTTTTAATATGTTTCAAATGTTTAGAGGTGAAGAAAGAAAAAAAAACAAAAAAAAAACAAAAAAAGTTAAGAATCAATTTGTAACTTCTATTAAATATTCGATTGTTTTTCTCTAATTTTTTTCCCATTTATTATGTATAAATATATGTTCATATTAAGTATACTGTGTTTTACATTACTAACAAAATTGTTCATTTTTTAAAAATAAAGTTGTCTCTTTTTGACTATATCCAATATTTTAACAGCGCCATTGTATTCTGTGTGTTTGACGACTATAACCGTCATCGCTTGATTATCGCGACTAACACCGGAGGCGCGCTCTGCGCATAGATCATCAGCCACACTTTAACTGATTAAACAACCATTACGAGGTATCATCGTATATTATTAATTGTATCTAAATTATATATCTATATTATCTAAAATATATGAAATTTTTATTTAATGTTGTAGAAAATCCGTTATTATTGGTGCAACTCTTTCAGGATTCATTAAATGAACATGATGAGTGCCGTTGACTTCGTGATATTGAAATTTAATAGAATTTAATTTGATTTGATCAAGAACTTTCTGATAATTTTCTGGTTGTTCGAATTCCATGCCAGGAACGGCTCGAATGTTAAGATATGCACATTTTATTTTGGATGCATATGCAAGTATCAAATCTAAGGACAACATACCTAGCGAAGAAACCTGTAAATTTAATTCAATCATTAACATATATTTCTTCTTCTTATCTTTGATACTTATTTAATAACTTACCTTCAATCTTGGATCACGTGAAAAGTAAAATTTGTTAGCAGTATAAGAAGGTTGTATGCCACGTTTCATTAATATTTTAGCTCCATTTCTGTCTATTGAACCATTGTAAGCATTTACAACTATGTCAATCATCTCAGAATAATCATAAACTGGAGTATTATCTAATGTAAGTTGTTCATATTTTAAGAACTTATCAATATGATCTCCTGTTGTTTCTATACTCTTAGTTACATCCCTTACAGTAGGACTAACTATATCCAAACTAATCAAGAAATCAACTTCTTTAGGATAAGATGCAGCATACAAGAATGATATTGCTCCACCCAATGAATGTCCCAGCAATTTCACCTATATTTAAAATAAAATAATTAACAAACAAGATATTATACAATTTTATACAATAATTAAATTCAAATTTGTGTTGTTTTTCTTGTTGTTGTTGTTATTATATAAATACTGATGCATAAAGTTAACATGCAATGTGGTTAATCCTTGCAATAATAATATTACATCTAATCTACAAGGATGACTGTTACATTTAAATCTCAGTGAGTACTGTGATTGAAATATCAAGAAAAAGAAAATAACATAATAATAGAGTATATATCATTCATTTGTGATGATCAATAAAGGGAGTGGTAATCAAATCCACTCGCTAACCTTATTCCACTTGAAATATTTTATAACTTTACGTAGTATTATGACACCATCCCAATAAACATAATAGTATTGAAGTTTTGGATAATGCGAAGATAAACCATGTCCAGGCATATCCAAGCAAAGTATCGAAACATCATCAGGAAGTAATGGAATCAAAGTATCAAAACTGCCTGCGTTATCTTGACGACCATGTAGTGCCAATATTGGTTGAACCCATCGAGGGCCCCACCATTTGCCTGTTGGTGAGTAATAATCTTAATATATATAAATTACGTGTTACGTTGTTTGTCCGCAATGGACTTCTAAACTACTCAACCGATTTTAATCAAATTTTCCACACTGTGTGCAGTTTCATTCAACTTGAAATATAGGATAGTTTATATCTCAATTTATAATTGCAATTGACTTAAAGACGTGTGTATCGGACTGATGGTGAGCCACAGCAACACGTAGCGGGGCACCTCTTGTTACTATGCATCACATTTTGAAAGTTTTTAAAACAACAAACTCGAAATGAAACAAAGTCACAGCAGAATTCAAAAATACTCTTTTACCCTATTCGATTGGGTTTCTATGAAATAGTTATACAACGACTTTAGAACATTTACATTGAAATTGTAAGATCTCTGTATGATGATACATAATCTAGTTGATGAATAGAATATGTAAATATTATGTATATAACACACAAAATCTAATATAAATTGTAACAGTCAGCCTTTTTCGATTGATATCATTTTTGTTATGTTAAACAATCAATGCAGTGTATTTTTATAGCATTATTGAAGCAATAATAAATTATTTAAATTAAATATTAAATAATTAAAAAAAATATATATATATATATAACAGCAAGCAGCCACGGAGTTATCAAAATAATATTACCTATATGAAATGTATTCAGATATATCATACGTATAATGTTTCCTAAAATAGAAAGAAATACTTAAAAATGTCTATTAAGTAACTTAACAAAAAAAAAGCAACATATATATACATATATATAATGATCAAATGAAGTATTAAGTGTCATTATACAAATCATTACAAAAAATCTTAAAAATGATAATTAAGCATATAATTAAATCTAAAGTCAATGTAAGTTGGTTGCATATAAATGAAATTGAACAAAAAATACGATAAAAAAAAAAAAAATAAAAAAAAAAATAAAAGAACTTCATCGTTGTATAACTTTAACTGCTAGCTAACCTTGTTCCACTTGTAATGTTTAACAATTCTACGTAGAATGACAACCCCATCCCAAAATAAATAATAGTTTTGTCCCCGTGGCAGATGAGAAGAGAAACCATGGCCAGGCAGATCTATGCTGAGAACGGGTTGATTTGACGATATTAATGGTACCAAGTTATCAAAACTTCCTGCATTGTCCTGCCAGCCATGTATTGCCACTATCGGTTGTTTGTCTCTTGATCCCCATAATTTTCCTAAATGTTTTTCATTACTATGAATTTTTATGGTGGATATTTATTTAAACATATTTTATGTCAAAATCTTTCTAACTGTCAAAACAAAGTGAAGAAAAAGATCAATAAAATATAATTTATACTTACCATAAATATAACCCCATGGTACAGGAATTTTTATTTCTTCAGGACCTTAAAGAAGAAATTAAATTTTTATTAAACATCACAAAAATAATATTCTAATAAAACTATTATAACATTTTTCAAAACCAATATAGGTTATGTATGATATGTATATAAGTTATGTATCTATATATGTATATTACAATATATGTATGATTATATATCATATGATATGAATCATACATATGAATATGTATATATAATAATATAAATATTTAAAATCTTACCATTTTTTTGGTAGCCATTTTTATCATTAACATCTGACTCATCATTTTTTGTAGTATGTAAGGTATCCATTAGTTTCTAAATACTAGAATTAAAGTAATTTTATTAATATGATAATAAGTATGTTCAATCTATAATTAATAATTGCATTGATATATGTTTCAATACCACAGTTAAATGGATGCAACGATACTAATGATTACAACACGAGACACCAACTGATTCAAAAAAACCTATTCAACTCTCTAAAAACTCTACTTTTACCACATCTATATATATATATGTGTTGATGTAAGCAATATGTAACCCACACCAATTACTTAATGAAAATAAAATAAATTTATTAATTATTTAAATATAAAACTAGTTATTTCGTAATGATATGTAAAGTAAAAAATACATTAATAATACAAAATGTTAAAATTATTCATGTTAAATATTATTAATGGACACGTTCAATATCAGATATATAAATCACTGTTCTATACGTTCTTGTCGTGCGAAATTGATTTTTTTTAATGAAAAAAGATTTCAATTCGAACTTTGTAACACGTTATTTTACATAATTAGAATATGTATGAATGTATTATTTTAATTTATGTATTTTTCTTCTATCTTTTCCCTTTTTTTTTTCTATTTTTCTTTCTATATCACTTTGACAGTTCAATCAAAACAGTGAAATATCAGATAACGTTTAAAATATCTCTGTTATCATAATGTAAAATGATTTGTTTTCTTTTTTAAATTGTTATTTAAAATAATATTAAAAAACAAAGTTACTTTCTAATAAATACAACACTCATTATTGAAATGTGTATTCTAAATTACAAATAAGTTTTTTTTTTTTTTTTAATCTCTTTAACCTTTTCAGAATATTTATACTGTCAATTGATATGTAAAAAATGGAGAATTCAGAACTTATTATAAAAACTGTTATTCATGCTGGTACAAAAAACGTAAACTTTTTTCCTGGAACCAAAGTATGTTTATAATAATTTAATATATTTTATAATAAAAAAAAAAAAAATAAATGAAAATATTGAAAATTTATCATATGCAACAACAATATATGTATTATATTATATTATTATTATTTAGGTTATATTTCACTTTAAAACAACAAAATGTGATACGAATAAAACTGTAATAGACGATAGTAGAATTTTAGGATCACCGATGGAATTAATTTTAGGAAAGAAATTTAAACTTGAAGTGTGGGAAGTAATAATACAAAAAATGGCATTGAATGAAGTGGCTTGTTTTAAAGTAGATAAAAGCGTATGTATCAAATTTGATATAAATGGGTATCATCATGAAATATATCAAATTAATGAATTTAACTATTATTATTGTGATGTATATTTCTGTGATGTCTGTTATTGTTTCAGCTAGTCACCTCATATCCATTTGTATCTAAAACATTAAGAGAAGTTGGTAAACCACAATCTGAAAAGCGTAGTCATCATTGTTGCGGAGTTACATTACAAAATGAAGGAATTGGATATGAAGATTTGAATGAACTTATTAAATATCCTCAAGATTTAGAATTTACAATAGGTACTAAAAAAGGTTTGATTTTTTTTCTTTCATATTTAATACAAATGCACACAATATGTTATAGAACTGACACAAATAATATTACCAAATGAATATGAAAAAGAAACATGGCAGATGACCGAGGATGAAAAACTCAAAAGTGTACCAGAATTAAAAGAGAAAGGAAATATTTTCTACAAAAATCAAAATTATGATATAGCTTCTGAAATGTATGCCAAAGCAATTGGAATATTGGAACAACTTATGTTAGCGTTAGTATAGAAATATTTTTCATCGTTATGATATGAAATTTTGTCATAATATAATTATATATTAAAAGTATATAAATTGATGAAATAATATAACATTTGTTTGAAATTTTTCAAGAGAAAAACCAAATGACGAGGAATGGTTAATGTTAAATAAAATGAAAGTACCATTGTTATTGAATTATTCGCAATGTAAATTAAAAAATGAAGAATATTATTCGGTTATAGAACATTGTACAACAGTATTAAAAACCGATCCAGGTTTGTATAAAAATACCAGAAAATATATTTTAGAAAAAAAAAAAAACAGAAAAAAAACAAGAAATAATCTATCTACAAATTTCATTCATTCATTCATTCATTTCAGATAATGTTAAAGCTTTATATAGAAGAGGAAAAGCTTATATTGGTACATGGGATGAAGATAAAGCTATTAAAGATTTGAAAAGAGTTGCTGAATTAGATCCATCCTTACAAAAGACGATTGACAAAGAATTAAAAGTATTTGCAACAGTTATTAAAAATAAGGATAAAACGCAACAACAAAAACTTGCACAAATGTTTAAATAATAATATAATTAAATGTTATAATTGTAATAAGTGAATATTAACTATATGTCTCTTTAAAGTTCAAAGTGCATAAAAAAGAAAGATAACAATTGTTGAAATTCATTGGTTATTATAATTTTGGAAAAATATCAAAGATTTTCGATTAATCAATCGATCTAATTTATCAAAAACAAAGGATATAGATAGAGGATTGTAGAAAATAATTATATTCATAAAATATTATATCATATATAGCATTAAATTCTAACAATAATATATTTCGGAAATATATTGTCAATGGGGGGGCGGGGCGGGGGGGTGATAAACATTATATAACAGATAAACTATATGTTAAAATATAAAATGCTGAAGAGTTTGCAAGCCTTCTTGAATTGTGTAATTTTTGTCATTTCTGCACAAATATATTATATATGTATATATATATAATTATTAAAAATAAAAAGATCAAAAATGATATTAAAAAATTTCGTTGAATATATAATAGTAATTTCACGAGTACAAAGACAGGAATAATAATAATAATAATAATAATAATAATAAATATTTGTTAAAAAAAGAATTCAAATATTTAGTAGAATTTAGAACAAATAATATTATTTGTACAACTATATATATCATTGCATTTCATGTAACAAGCTAAAATACAATAATAATGTCATGTAGATTTAATTTCATTGAAGAATCTACTATCGCAAAGTTTGACTAAATGATTAATAATTTGATGTTATCTTATTGTTAAATAAAGATAAAAAAAACAAATATAAATATTAATCAATGTTGCTGTTGATCATATTATAAGACAAATAGTATTATAAAAATACTAATTATTTATGTATGTATGTATGTATTATATATATATATATAAATAAAAACATATAATAAGATAATATTTTGATGTAAACATTTTTTCTTGTTTCTTTTTTTTTTTTTTTTTTAGTAAAAACGCTATAATAAATACCATCATTCATATATTCATGTTACTTATGTTATTATATATAATTCTAATGCTCTTATGCAAAAGTGATTCTTCAATGACTATACATTTCGTTGACAATGAAATTATCTAAATGTTTGGTGAGATGGACAATTAATCGAATCATATAATAATAATCCTTAATGATATTAAGCTTTTTTCATTTTCGTTTCTTTCTTTTTTTGTTTTTTTTTTTTGTTTTTTTTTTTGTTTTTCCTTTAACTAATAATATAGATAAGTTTTCTTCTATACACTAAACTTGTGCAGCAATCATTGATGATAATCTAAATTTAACTACAGAAAGCGTTATATATATATATGTAATATAAGTATTACATTACATTACATTACATTTTATTCAACAGACATAAAAAGAGTATTTTCATATAATAATAACAAAAGGAAAAAAAGAAAATAAAATGACTTATAACAAATGTTTATTCCTTTAAGAAATGTGTGAGATATAGAAACTATATTTCTAAGTGTACAGTTTAATAAGCTAAGGAATTAAATTTGATGTATGATGATAGAGTTTGTTTTTTCATCGAAGTTGATTTACATTTTCGGAAGAACGCAACGAAAGTTCCCAATGGATTGAAAAAATGATGATAGTTTTTTTTTTTTTTTTTTTTTTTAATATTTATCTTGATACTCTCGTACTCCCAACTCGTTATCTTTCTTCTTAAAAACATGACATAGATTGACAGATTATCTTTAACTTGAATTATTTGATAATATTTCATTCGTTATATATTTTCAATTAGACAAACGCTTCTGTAATTAAATTCACCAACAGATATTTTATATATACTTTATATATATATATATATATAATCATTTATTTTGGTGTCATTTATATAAATTCATTTACTCTTGACACATGCTAACTGATTAAAATTCAAACAATTTCAACATACACTGCCTTACATTGCAAATTTTTTTCTTTTTTTGTAAATGGCAACTGAAATGTAAAGCAGTCTTCTCTTTAATACTTTCCCATAAAGATCAATTAAACCTTGACCATGGTAACACACTGATGTTTTAGACTAGAAAAGTACAATTGGCATTAAATTTGATAATAATAATAATAAAAAAAAAACAAATTAAAAGCTCATTTATTATATTTACTATGTTACTTTGTAGGCACTTTCTACGAGTAACTGGAGACTCTCTTCAAATCTGTTATAATAACTAAATTCATAATAATATTCTTAATATAGTAAAAATTGTTTTACTGTATATTATATATACTGTGCATTTACTACTTATCATTACAAAATTCTTATGATTATGAAACTTTAAATGTAATTATCAATGAAGTGCATAATATAACTAAATATTACATCATTGTTTGATCAAAGTGTATTATAGAATGAATTAGAATATTTATCCTACTTTTTGCACAATGACATTCGTGTTTTATTTTCTCTCTCTCTCTCTCTCTCTCTCTAACAAATGCATGATTGATTTCTTATACTGTAAACACTGTTATTTCTTTCATTAATGTTTTCTCATTAAGTTTAACATTATTTATAAACACTTATCAATCAGCATTTATTGCTTCAAATTGACACTTTTAATGAAAAATTACTGTATATATATATAAATATACGGTAACATATAACAGAGAGAATAAAATATGAATAATATAAATATAATAATACGTATAAAAGAATATTTGAATTAAATAAACAATTTGGGCTGTTGAACAGAAAACTGATTATAAAAAAAGTAACAAATAGTTATATACAAAATTGTTTATTATCTAAGAAAAAGTAAATAATTTTTACTCTCTCTCTCTCTTTCTCTCTCTCTCTCTAGCCCTAATATCCTTTCTTAAGTATAATAATATTATACAGTAATGCTTTGAAGTATATAATATCAATAGATCCACTCTCTCTCTCTCTCTCTCTTTTATATATTAGATATTCGTTTTTCTCTTGCCAATCATTACACATCAGTAAATAATATTTTATACAGCTACCATGGTCGAATGATAATATTATTAGTGCTTATTGCTATTGGCATGTATTTATTATGTTAATTTATATATTACGTTTATTTTTATCGAGCAATACTGATTTAAAAAAAAATAAAATAAAAATAAGAACGAAGCATTTAAATCATTTGTAAAATACAATTGAAAATCAAATTAAATCAAATCAAATGAAATTATTTTCTTGTGTTATTAAATGCAACACATCATAGTTATTTGACATTTTACATATACATATACATGTACATGTACATGTAGTATGTAAAATTTTCTGTACTAAGGAACTATGTGATTTCAATGCGTTCTTTAATATTAATTATTAATTGTTCATGGTTTTTAAGGCACCGGACACACACACAAATGGGTACATATTTTTTAAATTTAAAAACATCGTGTAATAACATTTGGCTATAGAAATATGTCACCACATATTTTTTTTCCTTTTTTTTCTTTTTTTTTTTTTTCATCTGTTGTGTAACTTAAAAATCATGAACGGTTCTTATATTATTTATTATTATACTGTTAAATTGAATTTATTTATACATTCTCTACGGAATTACCGAGATACGTCTCTCTGTTTTTTTTTTTTTTTTTTTTTTTTTTTTTTTTTTAAAGATATAAATTAATTTTAATATAATTGTTATTATAAAAGAAAAAAAAAACAAAAAATTGTTCAAGCAAAAACATTAATTCGATATCATAATAAATCGCTCGTATATTTTAAAAGCATTTTGTGTAATGATCCACAATTGCAATACATTTAATTAATATTTTTTTTTTTGTGTTTTATTATTTTTTTAGACATTTTATTGATCTGGTCAACTTGTTAAAATTGTATATCAATTAATAATTTACACGAACGTAGATGTGAATCAATTATTATAATTTAAAATTTGTTAATTTACCTTTATAAAGAAGTAATAATAAAAATGTAGATCGAAAAAATTACAAAAAAAAAAAAAAATAAAAAACAACAACAATTAAAAAACATTGCACATTATTATATAAAATTCATTTTCTTTTTTTTTTTTTTCAAAAAGTTATTCAAAAAATTTCTCATTATATGTTATAAATCAACAAATATAATTAGAAAAATTGATAACAACAATGTTTTCGTAATTTTATAAATAGTAAATATTTTTTTTTGGAAATACTGACTAGTATTTGACATATCTCTCTCTCTCTCTCTCTCTTTCTCTCTCTATCTCTCTATCTCTGATCGATTGACTGTGAATCACTTCATGTATTTGCATAACAATAACAAAAGAGAAATGTTATATTCTCTTTGAAAATTATCACTAGTAACGTTGGAATATTTTTTATGGAGTTGTCGATGTTAAAAATGTTGGATCAACTGCAGCAACTTTTGCAGTAAGAAATGCATGCATACAGAATAATAAATTCTGTAACTGAGAACACTCCAATTCCTGTAAAAAAATATTAAAATGCACTATTATATATATATATATATAATAAATTTTAAGAATGATTTAATACTGTATACAGTATTTACAAGTAAAATGTATAATTATTTTAACACAATATAACACAGTTTAGTTAATTAGAACGAAAAATTAGAAGAACAACAACAACAACAACAACAACAACAATAAGATACCTTTGTTTCTATAGCAATACTGTCAGGTTCTTGGAAGTGCAATTTAAGTCTACTTTTGCCATCATCGCTGGATCCTCTCAATTGAGAAAATTTGTAACGCCAAACGATTTCTCCAATTCCTTCATAAGAAAGAGTAAATCCCTGAGTCCATTCTAATGTTAAACCTGCACTTCTGCTATTAAACGTGACAGGAAAGGTTTTACTCTGAAATTTGGAAGCTTACAATGATAATAAAACTATAATACCATTTAATAGATTTAAACAATTAACTATTACCCAATGTTGTTTACTGACTTTTAAATGTGTTATAGCTGAACATACAGCTGTATGCCATGCAGCTTCAACTCTTAATAATTCTTGTCGAGTTTCTACGCTTAAATATCTTGGTGGTTTACCCGGACTTTGTGCTAAGAAGCAATGTTGTCTTTCATCTACATTTTCTGACTCTCTCATTACGCGAAACATAGTCTGATATACTTTAAATGTTAATGCACATCGTGACCAATCACCTATATTACACTAAAATAAAAACAAATCAAAATATAAGAATAATATTAGAAAAATATAGTTGTTGAAATAATATGTAATCAAAATGATACTAACGGGTGGTGTTTCAAATAATAACAAATCAGGCCCTTTCAAAGCTAGAAACCTTGGCCTATAACTTTGCCATGGCTGATTACTATTGCTTACTGCTTCATTTACCCAACCCATGTATTCTATACGTTCACCAGGTCCAAAATTTCGATTGTACAACTTCATCTGTAAATTAATAAAACATACTTGTCAATGTATGTGTAAGTGTGTGTTAGAAAATCATTGAAAAAAAAATATATATATATATGTAAATTACCTGTAAATGTGTTAAGCCTGTAATATTATCAGTTATATATTTCAACCATTGACTCAAAATAGCACTGTCATCGCAATGTATCACACCAGTACGTGCACCATTAAGGCCTCTAACTTCAAATGCATTTCTTCGTAATTTATCAGTGCCAAAGATATATCTCGTAACATATGCCATCATTAATGGGACTACAAAGATAAATATTTATTATTTATGATAATGCAACAAATTATCTTATCTTAATATATATAAATTAGGATTTTAATCAAATTTTGCACACTTTGTGCAGTTTCATCCAACTTGAAATATAGGATAGTTTATATCTCAATTTATAATCACAATATTAGGTAATTCGTTGACTTAAAGACGTGTGTATCGGAATTGATTGTGAGTCACAGCAACGCGTGGCAGGGCAGCAAGCACCCCTAGTATGAATAATATGAAGAATAATTTATTAACCTGTGATAACATCCACCCATCTTTTGTATTGCATTGAAGCAGAAGATGCATTTGAACTTTGTCTACTATGACCACATCTAGGACTATCTGCTTGTTGTCTATTTGGCGATACCCAACCATCATCAGCACTCCCATTTGCAACATTATCTAATTTTTCTTCTTTTTCTAATATACAAAGAAATATTATAAATATGAAATAAATGATTTAAAAAATATTCATTTTTATTTTCTTTTATAAATATATTATTTGAATAATACCATTTTTTTGTAGAAATGGTTTTGCAGCACGATAATGTTTGACAGTTAAAACAACTATATCTCCAGCATTTCTTAAGATATTAACAGCATCATCATGATTACAAGCAGTGATATATTCTCCATTAACTGTATAAATGTAATCAATAATTATTATATATATATGAATTGTGTAAACAAGTAATTATATTGAAGAGTCAATAATTTCTAAATTTTCATTTATTCAACACAATTAACAACACACACACACACACAGGTATATATATATATAGTTGTTTATAGATTGACTACTCATTGTGAATATATTCATAATAAATACATATGATTGGCATGATGTGGACAATCAGCGTGTCAAAGAAGAATGAATATGAAACTATTGGAGAAACTGTCATGCTCCCATTTATCTGCTCGAGAACACAGTGATATTACACGAGTTCCATTTCATATAAATAGGTCATGGAATATAATAATGTTAAAGTTATAAACTCTATATATATATATATAATAAGAATAATTGATCAATAAAGATTTACCTTTAATAATGGCATCACCTACAAATAATTGGCCACACTGATCAGCAGCCTGACCCTTATAAATTCTAGATATGAGTACTGGAAGTTTATGTTCAGCTCCTCCTTTTATACTTAATCCCAATCCTCCAACTTTTTGTCTAGTAATTTGGACCATGCGTTCCTTAGCATCTAATGGTGGCTTATTATGATTTGCTACCTGCTAATATTACGTATTGTCATTTACAAATTATTTTTATTAACTTATTAAAAAAAAAAAAAAAACATGATAATAGGATAATATAATAAGAAATTATATAATTGTAATTTTCTCACAAAAATTTCATTCTTAATAACTCAATTGTTTCAATTAATAACATTCATTCAATTAACGCAATAATGAAATTAACAGAAATAATAAATGGAACGCTTTACCTCTAAATCTTCTCTCTGAAGTTTCAATACTTCCATGGACAGATACAAACGCATAGGAACTGGTTTGCTTTTCCCATCGCTAACCGTTACCATTCCCCTCCTTACCTTTAATCATATGACAATACAATTTAACAATGACACAACAGAAAAGAATGAAAAAATACTTAATATTTAATACAAGTATTATATATATTTTATAAATTTGGAATAATCGTATAAATATCAAAATCAATTTCAAATTTAAAAAGAGTAGTACTCGTACCCTACACCATTTTGACAACTGAAATCAATTGATTGATTTTAATTTGATTAGCATCAAAATAAAATATATTATTGTATTAGTAATTATATTTGTGTTAATAAACATATTTCATTGGACATAATTAAAAAAAAAAAAAAGAAAAAAAGATAACGTTACTAATAAGTAAACGCCGTATAAATATATCTTTAAGAAGGTATCACATAAAAATTAGCTTTCTCTATATTGATCAATTAACTGCGCCGTTATTCGTCGCAACCCCCCTAACATGTTCAAATAAGCATGCGTATATCCGACGAACAATTCAAAATAGAACTGCGCCTTCTCATAGAGAACTTATTCAAATATTTCGATTACGCGCTCTTAGATATAATAACCAAATCTCCTTGATAATTACCTGAGACTTTTTACATCAGTGTTAAATTATCTACCACCACATTAAACAAAAACAATTGCAGACATTTTCTTGAAATATTTGCTAAATCATCTTAACATTCCTTTCTAATTTAAATAATCCTGCTGTTCTTATGTCAGAACACGATCGGGATAATCGATCGTTATTTAAAAAATAGCACAGAGAAAAACAAGGCTAAGAGAGAAAGAGAGAGGAGAGGGAGGGAGAGAGAGAGAGAGACAGAGCTATTCTAATATCCTCCTTTCCTACTCGACTTATTGATTCCCGAAAGTTGAACGAACATCAACGAATTAAATACATTTAATAAAAGCCACGAGTATTATCGTCTACTCCTCCTCCTCCTCCTTCTCCCCCTTTCCCATCCGCTCTCCTTTTCTTTTTCTTTCTTTCAATCTTTTTCATTCTTTAATTTGTCCTTTTTTTTTTTTTTTACTAAACTTTAGAAAAACAAATGAATACCTTGAGCTTCTGATCAATCTTCTCCTCGATCGGAGTGCTCATCTTTGTCGCGTTGATTCTCATTATTCGTTTAAATTATCCTCCAATTTCCCTGCGTACTCGGCTAAGTTGCCATGAGTAGTGGACGATAGTGTCTTGAAGATGACAACGGTGTTGGTGCTGGTGGTTGTGGTGATCATCGATATAAAATGCAACTGCATGTTCTCTCTTTACACTAATTTCAATTATTCTATTTTTATTAAATCCGCGATAAACTTAGGTTGCACGATGATCGTCAAAACGAATATATAACTCATTGTCGAGCCTTTTTTGTTTTTCTTTTCTTTTCTCTATTTTTTTTTCTTATTCCCCGAGGCACCACTAACGACGCGACGATACTTTCGATGTCAGATTAAAGCAAAAAGGGATCGTACATCTTAATGCAATTAAATTATTATTCTTTTTTTTCTTCGTTATTATTGTTATATTGGAATAACGCGAAACTGTTTGAAGCGTCGATACTTTTGGCAGGAATAATCAATTGTCAAACTTTAGATAAAAGGATAAAACGAATGTGGAACCGTAGAAATGACGTTTCTCCGTCACCGATGTTACTACCGTGTTAGTTTGCTACTAACTAAAAGCCAACAAGAGTTCGCGGCCGTGGCGCATCGATTTACGCAGTGTAATGCGCATAGGTGGCGCTGTGTTACGTTCCTCCAATTCTCGCGGGAAATATGAATTTTATCTTATTTATTTTCTATCAATTATTTTTTTTTTTTCCTTTTTATTTCAAATCTCGTATATAATTATTATTTATTTATTTAACGAATAACGATCAACATTCGATGATTACGTACGTTTTCGCGTTTATTTAATGTCATTAGGTTTAGGTTACATTTTATCAAAGATTTTAAAAAGTCAATGAAAAATATTCGTAGTAATACGAATAAAATTGTGTTAGAAAATAATTTTCTAAAAATGATTTTCTTGATAACAACATTAAACGTTATTGTTAAATATTTTTACTAATGGGGGATGTGTGCTGTTTATTGCACCATTAAATAACTTTGTCTATAAAAAGTAATTATGCTAAAATAATATTTATATAATTATATTGCGCGTTAAATAAGTCTTATCTATGTGCTCCTGTTTCTGTACCAGCAGGAGGAATGTGCGTTTAACGCACCATTTTGAGAAATTACATGATAAAAATTGTAATTAATAAAATAAATTTTGCTATTATTACTTAGGTACAAATGAAGTTCGGATTTAACTATCATATACATTACATTATAAACTTTCTTGATATACAATAGTTTTGAGAAAATCATAAGATGCATTTATTATACCCCAACTAATGAATGAACGTATATAATTTAAATGCACACCTTTGTAAAACCATCTTATACTTCTGTTTCTAGAAATATAAATCTCACGAGATACAGCTAGAAATTGTTCAAATGGTTCACCTATCTTCGATTGCATATGTATTTTAATAACATTCATTGGATAAAATACTGTACTAGTAAAACCACCAATTAAAGCTCCACAAACAAAATTTGTTAACAATGATTCTTGATTACCTAATAATAATTTAGATTGATCACGAAGTGTGAAAAACATAAGATTAGAACATCCATTTCTATAAATGATAGGTACTAAAGCACGATAACATTCTGTTATTCCGTAATTTGTTAGTAAATATTTGAATGCATGAGTAGTATTTTTCAATTTTTTATGATATCGCCAATCCTGCAATAGCGTTTGTACTCTTTCAAGAGGAGTGAGAATAGCTTCTGCAGCACCGGCCATATTGGCAGCTAATATTTTAGCAAACATTTCATTTCCTGTTAATATACACAGTCTTTGTCTACATCCTTCATACGTACTAAACATTAAACTAAGTGATAAAGTTTTTTGACATAACGGTGGTAGAATTCCTCGATACAATAATCTTATTCCTTCTTGTGATATTTGTTGAAAAGCAGTACGCGCTGGAACACCTTCTAAAATCTGTATAATATAATTAATCATTTAATTATATAAACTATACATATATATAAGTATCAAATAAAAATGTATTATTTATTTATGATAGACTTACCTGTCTAAATATGATTTTATTAAGAGGAAAGGTAATAGAAACATTAATAACTGCTGCACCCCAACCACATATGAACTCTTTGAAATCATCATTATTAAGTCGTAGCACTGATCTTAATGTAACTTTTGGTGATGTTACGTTACTCATATTAATAAATATGTATTTGAAATGTTGTTGTTTATATAGTCAAAAAGAATTGATCATATAAATTTCTTTTGAACTATTATTCTTTTCAAAATTTTATCCACTTGTAACTTTTTCCTAAGATAAGATAACATTACCATAATTATTTGAAGATATAGATTTGTGATATCATTTCAATTGTAAGAAATTTAATTAATAAACATATTTTTGTAATTTATGATTATAAAATTACTAAAGTAAATATTATTAAATATAAATATATAAATGTGATATTGCTAATTGAAAAAGTAATTATATTAATTATATATAGAAACAATTTGAGAGAAAAATTATCAAATATTAAGCCAATGTATAATTAAAAATGAATCTTTATTTTTTATCAATTATCTTACGACTAAAGAAACAACATAGAGACAACAATATGTTAATCCTTTCATAAATTAATATATTATATAACTTAGATTTTTAATTTTAAAATAATTGCATATGAATATGGCTTACATATTTGTAATCACGTACAAAGAGTTTGAACAATTTATTTCAATGTTATCCGTGCTACGAATTTCGAGTTCACTTTTTTTTAACTTTGTATCACCGTCTTTTGTTATTGTATTATTTAATTTTGAAAAAGAACAAATCATTTGTCGTTCATTATTGTTTTTTTTTTCTTTCTCTCTCTGTCTCTCTTTCTCTCGACGTTTAATATTCCTATCAAATTACATTTTTTGGGTAATTTTAGATAATTATATTATGAAAGAGGATAAAATGTATTCACTACACCTTATATTTAAAGCTTTCTTTTCTATTTTTAAACAATCAATCACCGCATACTAACTGTTTTTTTAAACAAATTGTGTTCATTAATTGAGGATGAAATTTGCTGTTGTCAATTGAGATTTCAACGATACATATGTTCAATTAATTTATATATATATATTATATATGAAAAACATATGGTAATGCAGTGACCGTTGTTACCAACAATATGTTGGTACCAATAATGATTGATACCGATCGAGCTCATTTTACTGTTAATTTTTGTAAATTTTTTAATAATTACACACTTTTCAAAAAGTAGATACGATGAAATTTGCTGTTGTCAATTGAGATTTTAACGATACATATGTTCAATGAATATATATATATATATATAAACATATGGTAATACAGTGACCGTTGTTACCAACAATATGTTGGTACTAATAATGATTGATACCAATCGAGTTCATTTTACTGTTAATTTTTGTAAATTTTTAACAATTATACACTTTTCAAAAAGTAGATACATATATATTAATTAAAATAAATTACTTACTTTAAAATTATAAATAAACCAATAAACATTTGATAACTAATTGAGAGGAATACATGCAATACATACATATAAAATATATATGTCATGTATACATGTATGAAAGATTAAGCTGTAAACTATCCTATACATATTTAAATGTAAAAGTATGTGTTGAGTATATAACACGATGAGTAACAAGTAAAATCAGCAGTACCACAGTTATCGCCATTTTAAACAATAATTGTATATAGAACTAATGAATTAAGTGTGCGTAATTATTCTTTCATTAAAAAAATATATTGATTAACGTAGTAATTAAAAGTATTTCATTCCGAAACCTAAACTTTTGATTTTTTTTTTAAACAAATCTATTAAATATTTGTCTATTCTTATCTAAATTAAATTTTTTTTTAAATTACATTTAATTATATACATAATTACAGGTATTTAAATATAAATAAAATATCAACAATTTCATTGGAAATATTCAAAGATTATTGTTTGGTGTAAAGAAAATTTGTGTCAAAAATGATTCGTATTGCAAAATATTGTACACCATCAGGAAGTTTGAGTAAAATTTTTAATACGAATATAAGGTAAGTTTACATGTAACATTTTAACCATTTTAAAATACATACATATATATGTATATATATAACAAAAATGATGAATAAATTATGCATAATCAATATTATTATCTATTGTCTGTATACGTATATAGACTTTGACTCATATACAGAAAAATAACATATATGAAGTGGACTTTAAACACTTGAAAGTAATGCTAGGTCAAATCTAGTTATAGATAAATCATTTATTTGGTTTTATCTATTAATAGAAAATGTTTACTATGATATGGATCATTTGAATTCAATTATAATTAAGATATAATATTTAGAAAATTGAATATATATATATATATTTTTTTAATCCAGATGTTACTCAGCTACTCAAGCTGCTGTAAAAACAGCACAAACAACAAAGACAGAAAAAGTAGAAAAGACTAATGCTGGAAAAGAAAGTCAATCTTTTACTACAAATATTTTTCGAGGACAATTGCAATTAAATCAAGTATTTCCATTTCCTGAACCATTAAATACGGAACAATTGGAAACAGTTAGAATGTTCCTTGACCCAATGGAACATTTTTTTGAGGCAATGATTCTTACTGTATTTTCTTTTCAATTTGTTTAATATGATTTATTAACATTTAAAATTGAATCAATAGGAGGTCAATAATCCTGCGAAAAATGATGATGCACAGACAGTAGATGAAAAAACATTATCGACATTATGGGATCTTGGTGGTTTTGGTCTTCAAGTTCCAATAGAATATGGTGGATTAGGATTAAACAATACACAATATACCAGATGCGTTGAAATTTGTGGATATTATGATTTGGCACTTTCTATTGTTTTGGGTGCACATATGAGTATAGGATTTAAGGTATTTGAAATATTTTGTAAAAAAAAAAATGAACGAATGTTCATAATATGTTTATTCTATCCAGATATAGTAGAATGATCTAATCTGATAAAGAATATTAATTAATATATTTAGGGTATAACATTATTTGGTACACCAGAACAAAAGAAAAAGTATCTTCCTAGAGTTGTCAATCGTGAATATGCTGCATTCTGTTTAACAGAACCATCTTGTGGATCAGATGCTGGTGCAATTAAATCTCGTGCAGTTAAATCTGCTGATGGTTCCCATTATATTCTTAATGGTAATAAAATTTGGATTTCAAACGGTGGTATAGCAGATATTTTCACGGTTTTTGCAAAGGTACCAGTTAAAGATCCAGTAACAGGAGAAAGTAAGGATATACCTACAGCTTTTATTGTTGAAAGAGGATTTGGTGGTGTAACAAATGGTCCACCAGAAAAGAAAATGGGTATTAAATCTAGTAATACAAGTGCTCTTTTCTTCGAAGATGTAAAAATACCTGTTGAAAATCGTTTAGGTGAAGAAGGTCAAGGATTTAAGGTGATACATGATTATGAATATAAGAATAATCATACTTGTGTATAATTATGTATAGAAAGGAAAGTTTTATCATAATCTTATTTTTGTTCTTCTTTTGAATATTTTAGATTGCAATGAATATTTTAAACAATGGTAGATTTGGTATGGTAGCTGCTTTGGCAGGTAATATGCGTTACTGTATAAAACGAGCTGTAGAACATGCAACACAACGTGTACAATTTGGACGTACATTAGATAATTATGGCTCCATTCAGGAAAAACTTGCACGTATGAGTATGTTACAATATGTTGCTGAATCTCTAGCATATATGATTTCTGGTAACATGGATAAGGGTAGCCAAGATTATCATTTAGAAGCTGCTATTGGAAAAGTAATATATTTAATAATGATTTAATATAAACAATAAGTATTATATAAACATCGTTTATATTTTTATATTATATTCCTTTTTCTTTTCTAGTGTTTTGCATCTGAATCTGCTTGGTGGGTATGTGATGAAGCTATACAAATTCATGGTGGCATGGGATATATGAAAGATACAGGATTAGAACGTATATTACGTGATTTACGTATATTTAGAATATTTGAAGGTGCAAATGATATTCTTCGTCTATTTATTGCCCTAACTGGTGTACAGTATGCTGGAGGACATTTGAAAGAATTGCAAAAAGCTTTCAAAAACCCTACTGCCAATTTGGGATTGATTTTTGAAGAAGCAGCTAAAAGGGCAACTAGAGCAATTGGTTTAGGTTCATCTCCGAATTTTACACATTTAGTGCATCCTAGCTTAGCAGAAAGTGCTGCATTGTGCACAAAAGTTTGTTATAGTTTTGATTAATATTTATTTTATATATATATATGTTATATTATATTCTATTTAAATGAATATAATTGATTTTAGAATCTTGAATCTTTTGGAGCATGCATAGAAACAAGCCTCGTGAAGTATGGAAAAGGAATTGTGGATGAACAATTTGTTTTACATAGAATAGCTCAAGCAGCTATTGATACATATACAATGGTTGTTGTAATGAGTAGAGCAACTATGGCTGCAAATAAAAATTCTCCAAGTGCACAACATGAACTCCTTATGGCTCAAACTTGGTGTGCAGAGGTATGATATATCTTAATATTTAATTATATTAATATTTAATTATCTATTCATTATTTACTATTATTATATTTTAGGCATCTAGCCGTGCTGCATATAATTTAAAAGTGGCTACTTCTAAAAAACATTTAGATCTTTTTGATAACTTCAGTAAGATTTCAAAAAGTATGTGTGATGGCGGTGGTTGTGTACAATTAAATCCTTTAGGATTTTAATTAAAAGCAAAACATTATTAAATATTAAAGATCAGTCTCTATTGTTAACAAATCAGAATCATTATATTCTCATTGATTCATAATATATATGTATATAATATAAATTTATTCAACTATTGTTATACAAGACAAGTGTGCACACTAAATCCAAGACTAATCAATGCAATTTTGGGAACATCTGTTTTATATTCAGATATTCTTATATTTTGTTAATCTATTTATATAGATATATATATATATATATATATATATATATATATATATATATATATATATAATTAAATAATTATTCTATTTTTATATACTTTTGAAATAAATTTGGTTTTGATTTAACATAAGAAGTAAATAACTACTTTTGAAACGTGTTCTTTTGAAAAAGTAACATTTAATATGAATTATAAATAGAACAGTATTCAGTAAATTAAAATGAAGTGCCTTAAGTGAAAATGTTCATTGATTTTTTTTTTTTTTATATAGAAACCTTATATACACCCAATATATTTTTAAAAGAGACTACAAAAAAGTCAATATATATATATATATAAGATGTATTTATAATATTGAAAATGATATATTTTATGTATTTCTAATATATTTTTTATAAAAGAATAAAAATTTGAAATAAAATGTTATATGAATTTAGAGCATATTATTTAGGAGTTAGATGCCATTTATTTTTTATTTATCTGTTTTACAGAGTAATAAAATAAATGTTGAAGTTAGTAAATAATTTTACATTGTTCAAAAATATTTGATCTGTAACTAATTATTTTTAATTAGATACTTTAAATGGGAGAATTATTATATTATTATATATATTCTTCTACATTAAAAATGACATTTGAAAAATATTTCATTGAATGTTATATAGTTGGTTTATTATTATTAATTTCTCTCACTTAAAGAGGACTAACATTTTAAATATATGAATGTATGTGTAAAAGATAATTTTTCGAACAATAACTGATTAATCTTATTATTCTGACTTATAAATGCATAAATTTAACAATATCACAAAGTTTTGCAAAGATAAAAGATTATTTTTCTGATATAATAACCTTGTATATATATAACTATAATAATATGGAAGCACACAAAATATTTCTATGGCTTTCATATTTTTCCACATGTTTACATCATCCATACACATATGTTTATGAATTAATAATTACTTTTATAGAATGAAATACATGAAGAAACATAAAGTTATTTCATTTACAGATATAAAAAAAAAAGAGAAGGAAAAAAGCTACATTTAGTTTGAGACTGAAAAATTCTGTTAATAGAAAATATAATCATTAAATAAATTTAATAATAACATAAAAAAAAAAAAGAGTAAAAATATTGATTGATTTGAACATTTATTATTATTATTATTATTATTTTCAAAATTATGTCTCATTTTGTAACTAGTAAATATTTAAATTTAATAAAAAAAATTGAAATTATTTTAATAGAAATTTTATGAATAATAACATAAATAAAATTGACTCTCAAACTTTCATTTTATTTGAACACATAGTGTTATTAATCAAATTCATTTTGCAATTTCTTACACAATTATTATGAAATTATTGTAAATAGATTCAATGTTTTGTATATATATATATATAAGGTATTTATACAATTTATATAACGTTTTTGGTTAATTGTATTAATGATTTTGAATGATAATAATATTCAGAAAAAATTGAATACTATACTAAAAGAGATAGAAAGAGATAGAAAGAGAGAAAGAGAGAAAGAGAGAGAGAGATCATTTTATTTTTGTTACTCCAGGTATGCAAGCACATTTTTAAAAATATACATTTAATAAATATTCCATCACACATTTCTTGTTTTCTTATGAAGTTATCTATCCATATAATGTTCAAATATATCTTATGTCTAAAAAGTGATTATTAAAATATGACACACGTAATAATTTTTCTAAAATAGAATTGTAAAATTGCAAATTGAAAAAGTTTAATAAGGTATGAAATATGAGAATGTAAAGAGAATAATTAATTTTATTGTATTCATTTTTGAAATATAACACCGATGAAGCTTTTTTTTTTTTTTTGTTATGCACAGAAAAATATCTATACAAGATAAATTTAACATTATTACTGAGTTTTAAGGATACTTTTTATAGTGTTATTATATATAATTTGAATATATCATAACCCTGATTTCTCCTCATATATGAAAATAAATCTTTATTAATTCTTTACTATTAATTTTACTACTTGTCTATTACCAATAATGTGCTTATTTAACTTTGTATTGACTGAAATAGAATTTCTAATAACACTTGTTCTTTCACAAAAATACATAATATCACTCTTATATAAAAAAAACAAAACAAAAATATTAATTTATATTATATTCATCATGTGCAAGGATAAATATAATTTATGTAAAAAAGAAAAAAAAAAAACCAAACAATTAATGAATATATTTAAATAATAGTATTGTTTCAAAAGTAAATTTTAATCGTGATTATTTCAACGCTAGAATTGTATACATGAGCCGTTTATTTTGAAAGTCAGAGCTTAACTCCATTTTTCAAACAAAAAAAAGTCAAGTTAGCAACCGTAATAGTTACATTTTTAAATGATCTTTTCATTCTGAAGTAATTTGTTACTAATATATTAAAAATCTAACTCCAATTTAACTCCAATTGTCAATTATTATTTTCTGATTGTCCGTAATTACTCACAATGATGATAGAAATTTTGACATGATAGAAATGTCATTAAACAAAAATTATTTACCATTTATCCCTCAAAGATTATTATAATATTATTAAAAAGTACCGAAAAGATAATAACTTTATTGTAAATGAAATGAAACAAGAAGATTTTTGTATGAACAAAATGATTAGAAAAGGCAATTTTTAAAAGGATACATTGGAAGTGTTTTAAAGATATTTAAAATAAACTGAGTATTGTTTTTGTTTTCAATTTGAATGGACTTAGGCTCCTTTAAATTTTATAATGAATCTAGTTATTAATTTTAAAAGTGTCCTAATTCCATTGTTAATAAGAAAATTCACATTATTCACTTAATAATTGCCACTATTTTAACACTAGATATAAACCGCCATTTTCAGTATACCACCACACTAGTCAAAATGACTGGTGTATAAGAAGAAATGCTTTTTAAAGCTTCCAGTCTTTATTTACTTTTAAAAAATAACACAAAAATGTTTAACAATAATAATTTTAATAGATAAATGGATTTATAGACATTTTCAAATTATTTACAGAAATCAAATGTTACATGAAGTAGAAATTTTGAATTGAAATGGCGTCAACTAGTCAAAATGACTGGTCTGGTATATCTAATGTTAATAAGAACTATAAATTTAATACTTTTAGATACAGTGAAGCAAATATGACTCGTTAGTATCCTGTATGTTTTGAATTGCATTGAAACACAAACCCTTCAATATTTCGATTCGAATATAAATGGAGTTAGGCCATTTTCTAAATAAACGGCTCATATTGTATATGTATTCCTATAATTATATCATATTTTATATTTATGACATTATTTTCATTGTTAAGTAAATCTCACTTTCGTTGCACCTTATGTTATAATCTTAAATAATTATTTCTTAATAAGAGAAAAACTCAATACTTTCTTTATATCAACACTCGATTATTATTATTATTATTAAATACTATTGCCTTTATAGCTACCCAATAATCAATGTTCTGATATTTATAATGCAAATGTAAATATCTTTTTAAATATAAATTTTGTCAAAGCTTTTATATCTTTTTTATGACAGCAACATATTGTTTTTGAATTGTTTCAATTTCTAAATATTCTAATTATGGCTATAACTTCAATAAAATTTTTAACATATTTTTTGTTGTTGATAGAATTTCATTTTATCCGTTAAACTACTCCCATTAACTTCTATTACTTTAATGTAACAATTAATAATAGCAATAATAATAATAATATTAATAATTATAATATAATAGTAATATAATATAATTATATATATATTACAATAAAATGTGTCCATAAATTTAACTATTTCTATTTTTAGAGTTTGGAAGCAATTAATCTTATATGTATATAAATTGAGGTTTCATTTATACAAGAAAGGAGTAGTTTGAAATATTATCAATTGACTATTGAGTTGCCTATTTCATTGTTATATAAATAATGATTACGGGTCTCATCTATTTTTATCTGCTCTTTCTTTATAATTATTTCTTAAAAAATAAATAAATTTAAAATAAGATAGAGGAATATATATTTGGTGCAGTTTACAACATTTACATACATTTTCGCAAAATGCAAGAAAAATAAATCATCTTTTTCTTCTTCTTCTTCTTTTTGTGTGTGTATGTGTTTTTTTTTTTTTTTTATAACTAACAAAAATATTATTTATATACTTCAAACAAATGTAATTATATAAAATCTTTATGATAGCGTTTATGAAATTTCCAATTTAATTTCCTCTGACTATTATAATGAATGGATGATTCATGAACTTACCAAATATTTGATTATACTTTATCATTACCTGGAGTAACTGAAAAAGTTTTGGAAAATCAACCCTGTGCTATAGACAGATTTTTAAATGTTTCTCCATTCCAAGCAATTGCAATACAATAATGTTGTAGTAATTGAATGAGAAGTTCTCGTTCATCAAGCATTTCTATTTGCTCAATTCGAATGCGATCCGATTCAGGCAATGAATCGTATACTTCTACCATTGTCCAAGCATTAGAACCTTCCCATCTATTTACTGTAAATCTAAAAGATAAAATCATATTAAAGTTATTTATACAATCATTTTGAATACATTGAAATGCTTTCGTTAAAGTACAACAAATAAAATAGATCATACCGTTTTTGTTGAGTTTCTAGAGTTTTACAGTCTTTGACTCCTGATAATAAACATCCACGACTACGTAAATTTGAGAGCATTACTTCTCCAAATTTATCCTTCATATTTATTTGTTCATAACTCACGAATAAACTATTTGGAAATCTCTCTTCCAACCATTGTAATAGTACTGAAACTGCTCTAGGATCTACGTATACTAGAACACATTCCGCAAGAAACAGAGTTGGTAAATCAAAATCAACTTCAGCTTGTGATAATTTTCTTTCAACTTCATTTATATCTCGCAAATCTGTTCCTATCAAATGATAATTAGCTGCGTGTAAATCTATTGTTGAAAATCTTATCTCACCATCTGTAAATAAGATAAATTAATATTAATTATTTTATATTACAATATATAAAAACAATGTGTATTTAATACCTTTACCTTCTGTATTTAATGTATCTATCAATTGTTTATGTTTTTTAATGAGATAACATTTTCTCGCTGTAATACTTGGAAAATCTAGTTCAACAAAGTTTGTAGGATTATTTCCAGCTGACTTGAGTTTCCAATAAAGTGTATCGAAACCAGCACCCAAATTAATTATTTGACTCTTGTCACCGGACAGCTGTATAACAATAATACAAAAATGTATCAATATATGATCTTGTATTAATAATATTTGTCATTATTTATTTTAAGTTCTTAAATCTTGTTAATTTATTAAACACAGCACAGATTACATTCTGTCATTGAGTGAATATTACAAATGATGTACTTCGTAATTTCTAATTATATAAATAGAAATATTGCTGTAATATTTAGTCAACTGATATCTTATAAATAAATTATACTAAGTCATTAATGGACGCAATTAATCACAAAATAATATATAATAATATTTATGATATTTCTATTTAAAATTAATTACATATATATATCATTTGACATTTCGTGTATAACGTCAAATATTATTATTTGATCGATCAATTATTATAAGTCTTGTTGTGATAGTATAGATTTTATATTGACCTATATCACAAGTTTACTAAAAAAAAAAAAAAGCAGATGATCATGTCGAGAAATTGGAGCAGGGCCTCGGTCAGGTCAACGTTTCCGGCACTGAAAATCTTTGCTGTACAAATCAGCTGTACCATTTACTGCTTTCATATTTTAGGTTATATTAAATTTCAAAGTCATATATTTAAGATAATTCTTAATCGTTATTACTCACTTTAAGAAATTTGTTGATGAATACTTCTATGCCCTTGACCCTTGCGTAGTAACCACGATTGATTTCTGGAGGCTTTCGTGTAGTTTGTTTGACAAAAAAATTGATGAATGGATCAGACCAGTATCCAAGTTGCACTGCATAGCTTTTACACTCACTGGCATCATCATTTGTAGCCTGTATAGCTTCATCGTCCGTCATACCTTTAATCATTAAACTTAACTTTTTTAACTTTAGTTGTAAAAACTATTATTTTCGCTTTCTCGACGTTGGATCTAATACTTGTTCCTCTTTGAAAACTGCACTATCGGCCATACTGTTCAAAGTACAGGGCTGTATCTACTTACATTTAATGTAGTGGTATAATAGAAGGATGAATTTAATCTTAACAGTAACGTATAATATAGTATCTCCTTTAGTACTCGAAGTAAAATTATCAAATTTTTTTTTTTTTCAATTAGTATAAAATTTGTACCCATTAAAGCACTCTTATTTATTTATTYTTTTGTAATCAAAATTATGGCTATCTAAAAAAAAATGTAATAACAAGGGAAGAACACATCTGTTATAATTATGAAAAAATGTATTTTTTTTTTTTTTTCTGTACAAAATGTATATTCTTTTAATTCTAACAACCTCGTTGTGTATTCAACAAGGCAATACTTCTATTTATATAAGGAACAGTATTTACGTTTGAATTTACTCCCAATTCAAATACTTTTTCCAATAATGGTAAGGCATGCTCTGAAAAAAAAAAAAAAACAAAAAAAAAAAGAAAAGAAAATATACGCATACACATGTAAATATGAAAATACAATAAATGTATAATACATTTTAATAATTACATTAAAAGAAAATGTATATTACCTACCTTGCATACATAAAACAATATCTGGTAATTTATCTAAAGCCGACATAAGTATGTCAGCTCTAGGATTATCTAAACATCGTTGAAAAGCAGATAATATATTTGGATTAGAGACAGGATGATGTTTTAATGCTCTAGCAAGTAAAGTATGAGCTAATGTTCTTATATTATCCTGTGGTGACAAAAGTAGTTCTGCTATATTATCAATTATTGGTTCCAACATGGCTGGTTTGCGAGAAGACAAATGTTTGATGTCTTGAAGAACTTCAAATACATCTAATAATAATTAAAAATATTTTTAATAAGTATTTTATCTATTAATAAGTTTTCTTTGTAGTAAATAAAATTAGACAGATTGTACCTTCTCCGTGCAGTTTATTAAGTACTGAAAGCAAAGGTTGCCGATGTTGAGGAATTGCAGGTTCTGATGGAAGTGGGCTAGGAGCAAGTGTTAATAATATCTCTTCTGTATCTTCTCCTTCTCTTGGAATTGGAATTCCTGATATAAGTGTCCTTAAAATGCTTAAATTGGGATAATGTCCCTGTAACTCACTATATGCAAATTTAAATAAGATGATTAATATTGTACAATATTTTATAATTAGTCTAAGAGAAAATTATACTTACTGAAGTATTTGAGCATGTTTTTGTAAATATTTTAATGCCCTGTTGGGATCATAAGAGATATATCCATATAAGAAAGTAACAAATCTGGTTATTAAAGGTATAAATTCTGCTGTAGGACTGTAAATCTAAAAATATAAACAAAATATTGGCTTTTGTTAAATTGTTATTAAATCAAAAATGGCTTTTATAATTTATTGCAAACAAAGCATACCTGAAAACATTGAAAATAATTTTCTAATGTATCTTCCAAAGCTGTTTTATGTTCTTCATTAAATATGTAAGGTTGTAATAATTCCAACAATCCCATTACTTGTATAAAGAGATTTAAATGATGTCCCGTTTTAAATTGACTATAGTCCACATAACATCGACCCATCAATGATGAAGCTAGCATTGGAAGTTGTCGTAATACTAAAATTGGATGTACAGCCGCTATTTTTCTAGCACACAATTCAAATTCTTGAGATTTAAAAGTCCACGACTTTTGTCTTGGTGTTGCTGCCAAAGCTGTTAGTAAAGAGTGACTCATACAATCCAAAACTGAACCAGTCCATCCTGTTATTTTTGCCTCGGCAACAAACTTTGTTGTTTGATTAGCATCCAAATAACATATTACTTTTGGTATTTTCATATACATATGTAAAAGAAATTGATGTGCCATATCAGAATTTACACTGAAAAATATACAGGTTTATTATCTAATAAATTAATGGATATATATATATATATATATATATATGTATATGTAAAATCAGGATAATATTTAACGAACCTTTTATTTTGCATCATATGTTCTGTTAAATATTTTACCACTTTAGCAATCAAATGATCATTTGTTGAAATGCAATGTAGTAACAAATCAAGGCGAAGTTCCATACGGGCAAGTGCAGAATTTCTGTCCTCACGATTACATATAATAACAGCTTCAGCTACTACATATGCAACAAGGGTCAGTAATTGTTCTTTTTGAAGTAATAATATGTTCTCAGGTACATAATGCTTTGGTGTAAATTTATCTCGACCTTGCCAAAGTTTAGGATTGCACGTTAATGCCCAAAGAAAATCTAATACAGCACTTGGATCATACCTGTTTCAATAAAATAAAGTTAGTTAAAGAAATAAATTTTGTACATTTAATATTTCTTTGACTTACCCATCATCATATTTATCCAACAAATGTCCTACACATTTATATAAAGTAGTCCAACTTGCTCTGTGTGTCAGAAGTGTTAATAAGTATGGTCTGCAGGAATGCAAACTCAAAGTATTATTATCCATTTTAACATGTACTTTTGTTTTTCCAAATAAAAGTTTCATTTGAAGATTAGGACATGTGTCAATTAATTCAGGTTCTACAGAAGCTAGCCAGTCAATTAACAATCCCGTTCGAGATCTTACAATGCCTTCGTTACTATCATTAATTAATAATCTTGTCATAGCTTCAATAAGAACATCATTCTTCTGTTGTTTGAGACTAATATCTAACAATTTTCTACCTACACCTTCTAAATTGACAGCATCTGTATTTTCTAAAATTGCTCCAGGATCTCTATTTTGCATCAACATAATTAATTCTTTACGTTGTGGAGTGTTCGTTAACTGTACATTAGCAAAATCTCTTAAAATTGAGAGAATTGGTGCTTTTATGTCACCAATCAGCGATATTAGATTTAAACACATATTTCGTGCCAATTCAACCACTTGCTTTGGAGTTGATAGATTTTTTAAAGGTAGTAATATTACACGCATTAAAGTACAAGAATATTGAGACATATGGACCAAAGATGCTAGAAATTGTTTTACTTGCATTGAGCTTAAAACACTGCATATATGTTGTATTGCTAAGACCACTGCTCCACTTTCTTTTGCTGATTTTTGAAGATCTTTTGCAAGTGTTTTATGTAAACGACGATAAGCATCTATTTTTTGATTTATTGAAATATTTTCAATAAATAATCTATTAATCAGATGAGGAACATCAGTTTTAACAGAACATTGAATAACAGATTGTTTCTGTACCATAGCACTTTGAGGTAATGGTTCTTGTAATTTATTTAATGCCATAGCATTTTCTTCTGGTAAATGTGGTTCTAATAATTGCAAAACTTGTACAAATACCAATCCTCCTGTGGCTCCTCTTCTATGTTGAACTTCAACTAATTGAGCCATATAAGTTTTATCGAGTACTGCCTCTCCAACTGAACTTGGATCAATTTGTACTCCAGCATCAAGTGTATGTAATAATTTACTCATTGAAGAAACAGGTATTCCAAAGCTTTGAATAAAAAGAACCAATTGTTGTGGTTCTAAATCTTTCAAAGCTGCATCCACTAATCGTGGTACATTACTTCTAATCATACGTAATTTCAACCAATCTGGAATGAGCAATGCTTCCTCACTCGTATCTACAAGAAACGCTTTAGGTGGATCTGTGTTTAAAGGGAACCACGTTTCCAATAAATTAGCAAATAGCTCATCATCGTCAGATGAATCATAAGTCAAAAGTATTATCATAGCATGAACAACCAAAATATGCATGGTACATTCTTCTCCGCTACTCCATTGAACAAGAATTTGATCTTGACTTTCAGACCAAGTATATCCTTCTCCTCTAGGAGCTCTAGCTTTTTCTAGATAATTACAAAATATTGCCATAAATGCGTGTAATGTCTGTTTAGCTTGATGATTATCACCTTCTGGCTGTGGAAGAATTGCAGCAATAATTGTACTACGTTCAACCACTAATTGTGAAATTTCATTTGCTAAATCAGTTAAATCAGGTAGATCGTCTTCAGTAGTATGCGCAGCAAGATATGATATATAAGCATGCACGAGATCAGGATTATTTTCCACTTGGCAAGCACCACGAAGAGCAGTAGATACTAAAGAACGTATTGATACAAAATGTGGTATCGATGGTAGCTTACGTAGCAACCAGATTTCTCTGAAATCAAATTATTCTATTTGAAATAAATGTAATAAAAAATATATAAACTATTATGTGTACAAATGAAATACATAGACAAAACTTACCTATCAACCTCAATATCCATTTCCATACTTTCCTCTTCGAGCGGTATTGAGTCAAGAACCATTTTTAATCCAGTAATGGCTTGGAGACGGCTACTGCTTTGTTGACTACTTAATCTTCTCAAAAAATACTCTAAAACTTCGTAAGCATGTTGTTGATCTTGATTCGGATCAGTTAATAAAGTTTGAAGATGAGCTAATAATTGTTGTTGTCTGGGTTGTTTTTCAGCTGTCTGTGTACTTGTTGATAATAAGAATTCACAAAGACATTGTACAGGTAATTGACTGAGTGAACCTTCACTATTTTGTACCAAATCTGCTAACCATGGCATACTTTGTGACGAACTTTGTTGTTGTCTTTGTATTATGTCTAATAAAAAGTCTGGCTTTCGAGATCGACAAAGCAAATGTCCTAATCTGTGAGATACATTTAAAGATTTAATTTGTTCTAACACAGCTGGTGGTGGCCTTCTGGCAATGCCAGTTGGATCCATAGTTATTAATTGAGATAGAAGTAAACTGTTTTGTTCAGAAATTTGTATTCTTGTTGATGCTGCAGCTAAATGAGATTCATATTCAAGAATTTCTTGTTTTTCTAATGCTTCAACTTGCATTTCTTTGGCCCGTTCTTGTTCCATAATTTCTGGTAAAGCCATTGTAGGTGGAGGATATGCAAAATGACTGAAAATATTTCATCAATAAAGTATATATATCATGTTATATAACAATTTTCAATGTTATTTAATATACTTACTTACTTAGTAATACACATTTCCATAAGAGTTCGTAAAATAGGATATCGTTTCCATGCAAGAGCGCCAATTGTGGAAGGATTATGAGCAGCTAAAATTAATAACATTATCCATCCTTTCCAATATAAATTTGATATAGCTAAAGTTGGTGGTACATATCTAAATAAAAGATATTAAAAATATATATTATATATATAAATCCTATATGCACATAAAACATTAATAATATATAAACTTACCCAGAAGGTATATTTATCGTTCCTGGAGGTTGATAAATGCAAAGATTGAAGATAAGTTCAATAATATCCGTTTTGTCAGCTTCTAACATTGGAAAATTTTCAGTTGAATTTGCTGCTGCTCTTCTTATTAATTGATCTGTCAAATCTAATGTTTCCAAATGGTTAATACTATTTTCCTACAAATAAATTAACATACTTATATTATTGTGTATAATTTATATAAATTTGAATTTGCATATCTCACTTACTTTAGCAAATCCTATTAATAGCAATCTTAATAATGTGCTCTGTAATAATGGAACATCCGACACGAGACGTAGATAGAACACTCTATCTGATTCTGGTGGCCAATTATCTAATTTATAATAATGTTCAGCAGATTCCAACATTAGTATCTTGTGTAAACCATGAAGCAATTCATTTTTACCAATAAGATACATTTGTTGTGCAGTATTTCGAAGCCATAAAACTGTTTCATATTGTATTGTTGCAACTAAATTTTGAAAATGATGCAATATAGCAACATCTTCTTTATCGCCACGTTGTGCAACAGTTTCTTTGACTTGTGGACTGATAGCCAAAAACATACAAAGACAGAGTAAATCAATTAAAGACATAAACACTCGTTCCTTGAATTCAAAGTTTAGTAGTTGCTGTGCTATATCCTGTCTTTCTGACATTAATGTACGTGCGAATGTAACTAAATTAATGTCGTGTCGACAAACACGTACAATTTCTCTAAGTAGTGCACGTAAAGGTCTTAAATAATCTTCTCGATTCATCAATAAATCTTGAAATATTTCTGCAAGTAATTTAGCTGCTTGTTCAGGTAATGTTTGAAATATCACTGCTAACATTGGCATGTTATTTGGATTGCGTGCATTTGACAATTCATTATAAATTGTATGTTTTAAAATGGTGGATAAATTTTCTGGATGAAGACCAATAAGTTCTTTTACTCCATTTAAATATAAATTAATCACAGCTTTAGTTTTTAATCGCATTTTTACCAATTGACTTATAACTTCTACATCTTTTTGCGTATGCGATGTACAATTGTAACAAATATAACCAAGTAATTCTTGTGCGGGTCTCATTAATTTAGGATTATGTAACCACATTTCTAATCTAGGAACAGCTATGTTTCTGATTTCTACAAATCCACATGCCGAAGAGAGTAATTTTAAAAAATTTCTTGTTATTGATTCTGGTTGTCTCCTATTTATTTGTTCTTTGACAGCTGTTAATACAACATACTCTACATTTTCCATGCAATGAGCATATCTGGGAGTTACTGGAAATTCTATTTTTTCTTTATCACCAGAAAATTGTACAGTTGAAGTTCCTGGTTCTTCATCGTCTACCGTAGAAGGGCTATGACAATCTCTTGGTGTTAATACCGATAATTCTGTTTGTAATACACTTTTGGGTGGTTGTCTTGTATTAAATCCTGTTAATATATTATCAACAAAGCCCTTACATTCTTCATGATCGATCCATACACGTTCACCCAATGCATCTTCAATATAAAGCTGTAAAAATAAAAAATAAAATCTTACTATATACTTCTAATTTGTATTACTGACAAGATTATATCATAGAGTATTACGTTATATAGACAAATATTGTAAAATTTATTGTAATTATACCTGTATAAAAATTTCTGGCCAATTTTTCTTATCGTGAAATCCCTTCATTAATAAATTTGCAGCAAGCACTGGTACAAGTGGATTTCCTTTACTCTTATAATTATGAGCTTGGTCTCTTTTTAATAAAGATGACAATGCATGCAAAATGCAATCATTAGAAAAAATGGATGCACGAATTTTTGCTAAATAAAGTAATCCCATATATATGAGTGGATCAGGTTTCCATCTTTGATTTTTAAGAGTTTTTATAGCACCGCAAATAATGCCAATAACTTTGTCACCCTCATCATTATCGTTAGCTTCTAAAACTAATGGAACAAAATCTGCTGGATCAGTTTCTGTAGCTACTGCTTCCCATGCCTCGGTGCTAGAAAACGGTGGTCTTTGATGAGTAATGTGTTGTGAGAGTTTTGGTTTCTTTTGTGGAGTTAACGATAGAAATCCTGACGGTGCTTCCTTTTTACGTTCTGTGTCTATTCATAAAAACAAATATTCATGAAATATTGAAATATTAACTTTTCTTTCAAAAACATTTCATCTTTGATCAAAGAAATTACCAGAAGTGGAAGCAGTACCGCTTGGTTTAGGATGTATGACACCTAGTCTTTTAGAATCAGAATTTTCTCCACGGGAACTCTTTGATCCAAGTGCAAAAAAACCAGAAGGATGTTGAACAATTTTATTTTTAGCACCTCTGCCTGTACTTGTTTTGCCACGTTCCATTGTAATTTTTATTAATATCTATGTTTTCATTGATAAATGTACAAAACATAAATTGAATTGATAGATTTAAAGCTCAATACTTTTTTAGCATAACAAATAAAAGTCCTCATGTCATATACCAGAAATGTTGTTTTTTTATCTTTATAGCATAAAATTACGGTTTCCTAACCTTTATGCCGTATATCATAAAAGAACTTAATTTAAATTTATTAAAAATAATAAAGATCTTATATATATATATATATGTATATGTATATATTTATATGTGTGTAATATATATGAAACACTTAGTAATATTAGAAATTTACTTTTATATTAAAGAAGGAATTATTATTTTATATTTATTTATTATATTTCACACATTTATATAACCAAAAGTATACACTCTCTATAACTTTGAAATACTAATTTGGTCAAATATATAATAGATACGCCATTTAAGATCATACAAATGATTGTACCGGTAACAACAAAATGAATGGTTGATACAATTAGACAAGTGGCTCCACCTATCTGTGTCATCTTTTATTTGTTATTTGCTTGAATAAAAAAAAAGTAATTAATCAATCAATTTCATTTAATTTCTAATATAATCATTGAAATAATAAACAAGAAATATAAATATTAATTAATTTGAAGATATTAGATAGTATTTGATTAGATATAGTTTTGACCAATAAGATGCTTAGCTTATATTTGATTACATATAGTTTTGACCAATAAGATGCTTAGCTTATATTTGATTACATATAGTTTTGACCAATAAGATGCTTAGCTTATATTTGATTACATATAGTTTTGACCAATAAGATGCTTAGTTTTAGATTTGGACTATTTTCAATTAACCATTGTTTTACGTGAAATAAAACACAAGTCGTCACATTTGTATAAATATATGCACATTGTTTTATTTCTAATAGTTTTGTTAATTAACAAAATTTGTCAATGTTAAATAAAAGCCTGTGCATGATATTATAATTTTTCTTCACACTTGTCGTTTGTCAAATATTTGTAGATTTATTTGGTCACGTTTAGTTATGCTTAGTCGTTAGTCTAAATTAAAAAACAGGTAGTGCGGTGAGCAATCATTCTTATTGTCAAAAATCTTCAATCTAACTTTTGTTTTTTATTAATTAGAAGAAAAAAAGAAGAATGTCCAATGAATAATGATATTAAATTTATGTAATATATAAAGAAAGTATATATTCGTATATAGTTAGTTTCGATTCATCGATTATTATAATTGGTTAACCCAAGTTCATTCATCTATTCGATTACGATCTTAACAATTCCTTCCTTATTTTTTTGATTGAGTCATACATGACGTGTTAAGTTTTACAAACATACATACATCATTGTACAATTTATTAAAAAAATTATAACATGAATGTAAACGATAATGAATCAATAGAACAATATGAACCTTCCATTAAAAATATCATAGAACAACGATCATTACGATGGATTTTCGTCGGTGGTAAAGGCGGAGTTGGAAAAACAACATGCAGGTAAATATTATAACCTTTAAATTATACATCTATTAATGATAAACATTTTGATTTATCTTTATTATATTGATTTTTCTTTTAGCTGTTCTTTGGCTATACAACTGTCAAAAGTAAGAGAAAATGTTCTTATTATCTCTACGGATCCTGCCCATAACATCTCAGATGCCTTTGATCAAAAGTTTAGTAAAATACCCACCAAAGTTAAGGGTTTTAATAACTTATTTGCAATGGAGATTGATCCAAATGTAGGTATTACCGAGTTACCAGAAGAATATTTTGAAGGTGAAGCAGGTTTGTAAAAACAAATCATATTATAATTTTATTAATATATATATATATATATATAGTACATTATAATATTTTATTAACAAATGAATTCTCTAGGTGGAGAAGCAATGAGATTAAGTAGAAATGTTATGCAAGAAATAGTTGGTGCATTTCCTGGTATTGATGAAGCAATGAGTTATGCTGAAGTTATGAAGTAAGCATTCATTCATTTACTTCAAATAATATTTCAATTAATATTAATCTAATGCCTTAAATGTTTATATTTGTGGATATTTATTTTTAGATTGGTTAAAGGAATGAACTTCTCCGTTGTAGTATTTGATACTGCACCTACTGGTCATACTTTAAGGCTATTGTCATTTCCACAAGTGGTTGAAAAGGGATTAGGAAAACTGTTACGTTTAAAAATGAAAATTGGACCTTTCATTAAACAGGTGTGACGATACTCTTTATATTTGTTATATTAAGAGTATTTCAAATAACATTTTTATATGTTCTATTTAAAATGTAAATACATATACATATATATATATATATATATATATATATATATATATATATATTATTATTAATATATAGATTAGTTCTTTATTGGGAATCACTGATTTCAACGTGGACACTTTTTCAAATAAAATGGAAGAAATGTTAGCAGTTATTCGTCAAGTCAACGAACAATTTAGAAATCCAGATCAAACTACCTTTGTTTGTGTGTGCATAGCTGAATTTTTATCACTTTATGAAACAGAAAGACTTGTACAAGAATTAACGAAATGTGGTATTGATACACACAATATTATAGTAAATCAACTACTTTTCCTGAAGGAAGGTGATGTTCCATGTAGACTTTGTCTTGCCCGGCACAGAATTCAAGATAAATATTTGGAACAGGTAAATGAATTATTTTACTATTAATATTATGTTTATATAATAATTTCTTATTGTGTGTATATTTGTTTTTGTTTGTTTTTTTTTTTGTTTTTTTAAGATTATGGATCTTTATGAAGATTTTCATGTTACACGTCTGCCTTTATTAGAAAGAGAAGTTCGTGGTGTACAGCAAGTTAAGGAATTCTCTGAAAATCTTATCAAACCGTATAAACCTTAACATAAATGTAATTAATGGGATTATAATATATTACATATAATCAGACAATTTGATGATTTAGATCTCATTATGAATTAATTTATATAAAGATTTAATTCGAATAAATTCATACTCTATTGCTTTTTCTAAACCTATAATAAAAACGTAATAGATTATAAAGAGAGACAAATTTTTCTACATTTTCTATTGTTTGCGTGATGTGTGTCTCACATATTAAATATTAAACAAAACAAAAATAATTCATTAATTATAAATCTATTCTTTAAAAACAAAAAAACAAAAACGAATAGAATTCTCATCAACGATTTGCACAAAATACTTCACGCAAATATTCAAAAATTACGCTAACAAATCTTTATATAAAAGATTTTAATTGCATTAAACATATTTTTATATTTATTATATTATATTGTTATAATAATTAATAATTGATTATTATTTTTGCTCATATAATTAATATCTTTAGTAATAACAATATTGTTATGTTAAATATGTTCAATGCACAAAATCATAATTGAATCTGATTTTATTTTCATATAATTAAGAATATTTGATTAAATATTAGTTACATGCTGGAAGTGGGTATATTAATTATTATATGACAGATAATTTTTGTCCAATATGTATAAATGCATTTATAGCTTTGTCTATATCTTCTTTAGTATGTGCTGCACTTATTTGAACTCTTATTCTTGCTTTGTCTTTTGGTACAACGGGATAACTGAAGCCAATTACATAAATTCCTAATCCTTCAAAGATAATTACGAATAAGAATTAACGTAATAAATAAAAGTATATCATTTGAATAAAGTGATATGAATTAAAATAGAAATGATAATAATAAAAAAAAACAAAAGTATTCATACCAATCATTTCATCAGCAAAAGTTGAAGCTAATTTTGCATCTCCCAGCATAACTGGACAAATGGGATGATTATTACCATTGATTGTAAATCCAGCAGCAGTCATTGACTTTCTAAAATGTTCTGTATTGCTCACTACATTTTTCAAAAATGTTGTATCAAATGTTATTAGATCCATCACCTATAAATGATAAATTCTTGTTTCAATTGATTTATCTTATTATATTATTTATTATTTAATGTATATAATGTTTATAGAATATACTTTATTAGCTGTTGCTACAACAGGTGGTGGCAAAGAGTTTGAAAACAAATATGGTCTACTGCGTTGTCTTAACAAATCAATCAGTTCTTGTTTACTGACTGTATAACCACCTGCTGCTCCACCTAAAGCTTTTCCTAAAGTAGAATTAATAATGTCTATGCTACCTAAATGATTGAAATATTCTTCAGTTCCTCTAAAATTATATTAAATTATATTAAACAACATATATAGATAAGTCGAATGATTAACTATTAACTAATAGAAATTATCTACTTACCTACCAGTTTTTCCAAAAAATCCGGTTGCATGACAATCATCTACAAATGTAAAAGCATTATACTTTTTTGCAAGCTCGATTATATCTGGCAATGGTGCAATAGTACCATCCATCGAAAAGACTCCGTCAGTCGCAATAATTCGTAAACGCGACGTGGAACTTTCCTTAAGTTGTCTTTCTAAGTCATTCATATCTCTATGTTTATATCTTTAAAAAAGAAAAATTGAGAATTATTGAAAAATCATCTAATAATTTTCAAATTATTATTCTAATTGTTTTTTTTTAGACGATACCTGTATTTTTTAGCCTTGCATAATCGAATACCATCAATAATCGAGGCATGATTGAGCTCATCGCTGAACACTGCATCTTCTGGTGTAAGCAGAGCTTCAAAAAGACCAGCATTTGCATCAAAACAAGATGCATAAAGAATTGCTGCTTCTCTTTCATGAAATGTTGCTATTTTCTTTTCTAATTCGATATGCAAATCTTGCGTTCCACATATGAATCTAACAGAACTCAAACCAGCTCCATATTTATCTAATGCAACTTTAGCTGCATTAATGATTTCTTTGTTATCCTAATCATATTTAAATACATTTGACATTTATTGTCTTATATTTATTTTATTTGTAATTTTTGTAAAAAAAAAAAAAGAAAAAAGTTATTACGTTACCGCTAAACCTAAATAATTGTTTGCACAAAAATTTAACACTTCTTGTCCATTTGCTAATACGATTTTTGTTCTTTGAGGTGATGTAATTATTCTTTCATTTTTCCAAGTACCAGCTGATTTTATCTCATCCAATGTTGGTTTTATAAATGTTGCTATAGAATTTGTATTAATAAATTGAATCCTTTTAATACAGTGACTTTTAATAGCTGCAAAAATAATGGATACGTTTAGAAAATTTCTATTTGATTTACAAATAAACAATTATAGTTCAATGAAACTAACTTCTATCGAATATTCGGTACATTTTATATGAATTCAATACACTGTTCTAAAGTTTTTAAACGTCAAAAGAAGAACTGATTATAAAAGGTGAAAGCAAACAAAAACCGGTTTTATACTTGTTGTTTTTAATGATTAAAAAAAAGATGCATATTTAACGATTCTTATTATTTACATTTTAATTTGTTTATTCGTAAAAAGATTCCATGAAAGATCATAAGAATATATTATATGTTTTTAATAATTTGTTTTTTTTTAAATATCATATTCTATTTTTTTTTATTCAAATAAATAAATTAAAATTATAATTTTATTAATATATTTATTAAATAAGTATACATCAAATTTATTAAACAGCCAATTTAACGACCATCAAATTCTTTGCTAAAATTAAAGGAATACAACTATACATTTTTCTACATTTTAAATAAATAAGAAAAAATAGAATTCTATTTATATTCATTTTTAAATGACATTCCATTTTTGCAGTAAATTTAATTTTTCTACTCAATTGATAAATAACATAAAGTGTATCTGCATATGATAAAAAAGAATTGATGTTATTATTACCGATATAGTAGTTTTACAAAAATAAATGCAATTTTCTATGGCGCTGCAAGCATAACCTCGATACATAGAACAGATGCTTGAGATTTCCTTCCACGTGGGGGCCTTTGTGTATATATTTATGCACATGCGTATGCTCTTGCACATGCGTATGCTCTTGCACATGCGTAT